TTATGGGTATTGAAATGTGTGCAAATATGTGTATGGATCGGTGAGAAATAAGATGGCAATGTGAAGTACTTGATTGTAGTCAGTTTATACAAGTTATTAAATTCATACAAATTGAGGCAAAGTGAGATTAGGAAAATAGACTGACGTGACCTGACTGACTTGGACAAATTGTGTAAGCAGAATGACAACGAGGAAAAATATGTAACTTGTATTTATAACCTATGGTAAGTAAATGAGCAATTAAGTATGTAAAATTAGACCTTCTGGAAAGTTACTGTCAAGGTAAAATAAGAATACTTAGAACTCGGGTTCAACTTATTAGTCAAAATAGAGATTAAAGGAAATGAACTCGTACACAATTACTCAAATGAAGTTACATGGGTAACTTAAATGTAAAATACGATAAGGAATGAACTCAAGTCAGTGCACAAAATTACATAAATAAATAAGCATAGCATAATGATTATTGAAGGTTATTTTGGATAAAACTTGAACTAAAGTTTAAAACTGTACGAATCCCAACAGATACACCTGCGTGAATTTTCAATACAGATTTTATATACCATCAAATCTTTAAAACGACGTTAAAATATAATATTTTAAACAAACATGAAACTTATCACTTGCACATATTTTTTAATGAATGTTTTTGCGTGTGATTTTCCTTAGAATTTTTTTAACCGTTATTATATTTATTTCCGAGATAAGAGAAAATTTAAGACGTGCTAATTTGGGAAACAAAAAGCATCCAACACACGAAATTTTGTCAAAATCATTAATCTAACCATATTTTGAAAAACTTGTCATTTCGACGTTTGAATGATGATGATGCAATTCTAAAAAGCTCAAATTTGGCACAAAACTTTCCTTAGTTTTAAAGTAGTATTAGTAGAAATGAAATTTCGAATAACAACTTATTTGAAAAAGGTTTTCGAAATATTTGTGAGAAATAAAGGCATTCCCTTTTCTGGGTAAGTTTGCACAAAAATACGCCCTTTTCTAGAAAAAAATGTATGAAATGTTTCAAATAAATATGATGTAAAGCTGTGGAAAAGTTCTACAAATTAATTACGCACGTGGACGTAATTTTATAAAATGTCGGATTTAAACGACTTTGTCTAGTTTTTGCGTTATCGAAATACTTAAAAATAACTTAGATTTGAACACTTTCACCGAGCAAGGGTCAAATTAAAAATTAACTCCCAAACAAGGATCTTGTAAGTTTTTATGTTCTTAAACATTTTTGCCTTCAATATTAAAATGATGAAATTCTAAATTCCTTTAATTTATAAAGTGGTTTAACTCTTTGGCCCCATTTGCGCCCGCCACACCCCCTCACTAAAAGGTAAGAAAATCACAAAAATTTACAACTAAAAAAATCCCCCAAAAATCCAATTTTGTTCGAATTTTTATGAAATTTACATTTTTGTGATCCCTTATACTTGACTGATCATATCAAATAACAATCTCTAATGTGCAATTTCAAACGGATAAAATTTTATACAAAACATTTGCACATTTTTTTAAAAGTTTCTTTATTATATTCGAAATAATCTTACGAATCTTAAGATTACTTCTAAAATCGAAATTTTATGGGCATGTTTCTATATTTCAAGTTGAGATATATAAACATGCCGATTTTCTGAGTAAACTTGTTAACAAAAATTCCATCGTTTTTTGTGTAGAACAAAATTTTGGATAAGGTTTTAAATTTACAAAAACTTTGCGTGTTATGACTATTGAAGCCGTCCCATCTTGGTTACTATTTGGTTACTAATTTGATTACATAATAGAATTGATCAGGTCGTTTAAATACTGCATTTAATAAAATTTTTAACTCCGCAGGTGTAATTATTATTCTTAAATCTTTCTACAACTCCAAACTATTATCATTTTAGTTCCAGTGAATCTCGAACTGTGGAGAAAAATAGCTCTGGAAAGCAATCATGAAAAAATTTGTGTGGGGGACAAGTCGCATATTTATAAATAATGTTACATTTAAACGTATTTGGAAAATAGCTAGGATATGAAACTATTATTTTAACCCCTGTACATTTGTTCTTTTCGTGATAATTTTCTGAATTCAGTGGCCAAGAAAGCGTGGGGATAGAGGGGCATTGCTCCCACTCGTGTTACAAGTCCTTCCCTAAAATGTTAATGCCCCAGATGTCCCAACATTTTTCGCGGCCATTGTCCAAATTGACCAGATCAACATAACTTCTTGAAAAATTTAAAACAATGCGCAATGTTTCAAATTTGCGAAAATTTTGCAACCTATGTATACCCATAAATGTTTGCCACATTACATGTCAAGCTACCATATAACTATCTGAGGAGGGGAGGTTGTGTACTATCAACTCCCGGATCTCGATGCCCTTTGGATATGTTGTAGTGTCCCATGAATGTACAAGAACCCTGAAGTGGTTTGATTCCATGGCCACATTTGCGCCCGCCACACCCACTCAAAGGTGCCCAAAAATCGCTTTCACTCCAGCTTTCACTCATTCAAAACCACGCCAAAAATCCAATTTTACCCCGATTTTGAAATTTCTTTCACCATTATACTCCCAGATAGTTTCTCTCTTATATCCAACATCAAAATCAACTTTTTTGATGATTATTTCGCAGCCATAATTTGCTTTGTTGATCACCACAACGATGCTAATTCTCATTAATATTTCTCATTGTTGAGATAAGAATATTAATTGTTCTGAAATACTTGATTTGCAGGTGCATGTGAAATATTAATTTCACAAATTAGTTAATTAATTTTTTAATTAAGTATTAAATTCTGGCTTATAAGCAAGAATTTAATACTTAATTAGCTAGCTAATACTAGCTACTTAGCTAGCTTTAAAAACGGTTTTATAAAATTTTGACAAAATTTTCCCAAGCCCGATTAACCCAAACCCAGTTTTATCAAAATTTGAAAAACCGGAATAATCGAAATCGAAACCCAATTTTTCAAAATATTCCGATTTTCGATGCCCTCATGATTGGTGTTCAGCAATTCGTCTATCTTATCTATTTCACAATAAATAGAAATTACTTACTTGACAAAATGATTATTGGGTTTTAAACTTTACAAATCTTAAACTTTACAAATCTTAAACTTTGCAAATATTTTACAAATTTTTCAAGTCGTACCTCCTTCACTTAATTATTTGTTACTAAATTTCAGAAATTTGAAATTCACTAGCTTCAATCCCATATAATTATTAGCGAAGTATACACAAAAGTTGTGACATATTTATTTCTCTCCATTAATTTAGTTTTTCCATGATTTATATTATTATCATGCCTTATCTATCACCGCTAACGATGATTTGTTACTGAACGGTGGCAATAATTCGACTTGTTGAATTACGAAGAATTGTTTTTTGAAATATTTTGACGAAAGTCTGAATTTTTGTCGTTATAAAATTAAATTTTCAAAATATTTCTAACAAATTATTTTCTACTTTCTTCCCATGTATTACTCTTCCATTTATCAAATTTCTTCTAAACTGTGGTCCAAAGATAAGTTCTCCGACGTGCAGAAAATTGGGTGAAAAACAAGTGAAATTTTTAAAAACGTGAATGGTGAAAGTTTACGTAAGCTTTAAGCAATCATTCGTCACGCGTCTGGATAGATGTATTTTCAGTCCCGTTTTCTTCAAGGTTTGCAACTTTGCGTGCCGATTTGTAGATTTGGCTACACGATAACAAAGCGAAACTGGTTTCATGGTTCTGAATTATTTGGAAATCTTTCATCATCGAAAGTGCCCAGCTCCTCAGCGTGTCGGGGAAAAAGTGTTAATTTTTTAAAAATTAAAGCGATAAGAGAAAGCTTATTACCGGATTGGCAATATTGGAACAAAGTAATTTCCATTCAGTTTTGTAAATGTTGAGGATGCAATGTATGTTGGGAAAAGAATTGGTAAAAGTTTGCTGCCAATTGGACAATTTTACAGAAAATTGCCTAGTTATGGGTAATAGATGCTGTCCTGGGGGTTGCTTTGATTAGTACAACAAAATTTAGGCATTAATTTGGGAGACAACCAATTTCATAACAATCAATTATTACAGAAATTGTAAATGGTAACTCAACAACGTTTTGTACTATGAAAACTCAAAACCTTGTCAAACTTGGTTAAAGGCTAATTAATTTTTACACTGTCCTCTAGGGGACATGAGTTTAAATTTGAGTAAAAAAAGGCATGCCATAAATTCCTACAGCGAATGGAAATAACTACAACTCCATATGTTTCTTGAACAATTTGGACACATTGGTCATCCAAAATCGGTGTTTCCTATTTTATAAAACCGGGTTTCGATTTAAGGAATATGAGAATTTTAAGGCTTTGTCCACCGAGATCCTCAATGACGCGAAGATGGATTTGCGCCAATGGGAGCACACCACTGTGGGGACATCCGGAGTCGGGTACTACCCGTACCGCGGATTGGATGGCGACAGCGATTGTGCTCCACAGGATTCAAGTATCAAAACTACAACAATGGTTTTGGGTCTCGTGTGGGATAAGGAAGAGGACAGCCTCAGCTGCAAAGTGAAAATTGCAGACTTGCCAGATAAGTTAACCAAGAGGGAAATCTTGTCAAGAATTCAGAAGATTTTCGACCCAATTGGTTTCACGTGTCCAGCAACCCTTCAGCCGAAGATTTTACTGCAAGAGGCGTGGACACATAAGATGGAATGGGATACAGAGTTATCTCAAGAAATGCAACTAAAGTTTAGAAGTTGGTGCGAGGAAATTGAATGCTTGACCAAGATTAAGATACCAAGATGGGCATCACTTTCGTCGTGTCTGCCTGAAGATTTACAGTTTCATGTTTTTTGTGATGCTAGCCAAGTAGCATATGCGTGTGTCGTGTATGCACGAGTGAGAATTGGAGATGAGGTCGAAGTGCACCTCCTCCAAGCCAAGTCACGAGTTGCGCCCCTCAAGAAGATGACGATCCCTAGATTGGAGCTTTAGGGATGCACAATCGCAGCTCGGATTATGAAGTCGGTCTCCGACGCTTTGTCATTGGAAGGTGCGACCACCACTTATTGGACGGATTCTACGACCGCGTTAGCGTGGATCCAACGTAATGACGGTTGGGGCACTTTTGTCGGAAATCGAGTGCGATGTATTTTGAAGTTGTCAAGTGCTGAAAACTGGAGACACGTTCCCGGTGTCATGAATCCAGCGGACCTCCCCTCCAGAGGATGCGACTCACGAGAGCTTCTGGAATCCAAATGGTGGGAGGGACCCGACTGGCTTAAAGGAGATGAAGACAATTGGCCATCACGAGAAGTTGACCAAGATGAAGTGGAAGTTGCAGCAGAGAAGAAAGCAGCGACGACCCAGATGACAAGTGCAAGTCAAGTTGAAGAGTCGTGGTATGTGAAGCGATTCTCAAGTTTTAAGAAGAATGTGCGAGTCATTGCATGGATAAGAAGATTTGCTAAGAATGCAAGACCATCGTCACAATCACGAGTAAGTGGTCCACTTATGATTGAAGAGATCATCAATGCGGAAAAGTGCATTGTGAAGTTGATACAAAAAGAAGTTTTCACTGGAGAAAATTCCATCAGAGGAATGGAAACTGTAGTGGACGACGATGGTATTATCCGAGTGGTAACTAAGTTATTCCACTGTCAAGAACCAGATGGATTCCGAAGACCAATGCTGTTACCGAAGTCTCATCCAGCCGTTGAGATGTTGATTCGGGACTGCCACTTGGAGAATTCTCATGCAGGAGCTCAATTCCTCATGGGAAAGTTAAGAGAAAGTTATTGGATTCTACAAGGAAGACAAGCTATAAAGAAAGTGATTTCGTCATGCGTGAGATGCAGACGATTTAATGCAAAGGAGCCCATTGTACCACGAGGACAACTTCCGGACAACAGAGTTAAGATGGGGAAAGTATTTGAAGTGACAGGAGTCGACTACGCCGGGCCCCTCTATTTAAAGGACAAGAGTAAAGTTTGGTTTTGTCTCTTTACGTGTGCGGTGTATCGTTGTGTCCACCTTGAAGTTGTCAACTCTTTGTCGACGGAGGCGTTCATCATGACCTTGGATCGCTTCATCGCAAGGAGAGGGCGTCCCTCCATTATTTACAGCGACAACGGAACAAATTTTGTCGGGGCTGTAAATCTTTTCAAGAATATTGACTGGTCTCAGGTTGAAAAGGAAACTGAGACGAAGAGGATTAAGTGGATTTTTAGTCCACCATCATCGCCATGGTGGGGAGGATGGTGGGAGCGGCTCGTCAAGACGGTCAAAGACCTTATCAAAAGGATGCTAGGGAATGCAAGGTTGAATTTGGAGCAGTTGGCGTCCTGTCTATGTACCGTGGAAGCAACGGTCAACGGGCGGCCGCTTACATTTGTCACAGAGGATCCGACGGATTTAATACCCATCACTCCTGCAATGTTTATTCAGGATATTGAAGATGCAAGTTATCCCGAGTTTGGACTTTCGGATGGGGACATCTTGAGGATGAAGAATCGAAACATGCAAGTCAAGTTAAGGGAACAGCTTCGTGGGAGGTTCAGAAAAGAGTACCTCGGCCAACTCGTTCAGCGTGGAAACGAAAACGGATCGAAACAGTTCAAGGTCAACGAGTTGGTGCTTATCGCCAACAGTTATCGATAACAAGAAGCGTGTCGAGTGGCCCTTAGGAAGAATTACGGAGCTAATGTCAGGGAAGGACGGGAAAGTTCGAGTTGCCCGAGTCAGAACTCGTACTGGAATTTTCGTTCGACCACTGCAAAGGCTGTACTCGTTGGAAGTCAACGACCCAGTTACAACATTACCAGCATTAAGTGAAGACGCCAAGAACGAGATGCCGAAGTCAAAGGATTTGAAGGCAGAAGTCGTCGTGCGAACCAAGAAAGGAAGAGAAGTAAAGAAGCCTCATCGATATGGAGAGTTTTGCAGCGATGAGTGAAAGTGATATGATTGGATTTATTTGATTTTTGATTGTTTTACGTTATGGTTTACTTTATTGATTTATTTGTGTAAAATTAAGTAAGTTATGAATGATGTTAGTTTGAATTTAGTCAAATTCAGGTGGGAGGAGATGTCAAATATCTGTAGTCTTATTTTGCCCTTAATATCTAAATGTCCCTCTTAGAGAGCTCCCTCCCATCCTTTGTCAGTTATTCGTTGTCAGTTCGTTGCGAGAGAAAGATATAAGAGTTGAGCAGTCAACATTATATTTAATTTCACGTTCATTTTAAGTAATTAAAGTAAAGTAAAGTTATATTCCTCTCGGTTCATTATTAACTAACTAAAAGTGTGATGATATTAATAAATCGTCTAGTTAATTCATTTAACAGTGAGGTTTGATTCGTCCTATTAATTCACGCCTAGTTAGTTCGGTATTCACGGCCAGTAACACATTTTAAGTAATAGAGACCTCTTCTCGGGTAGAGAGAAGGATTTCTACAGACCTGTCGTCAAGGTCTGTCTCTATGGTATTGTTAGAGGTGACCTGTTCGCTAGCCTTACGCGGCTTAAATGTCTCCAAATCGATATTTTAGGTAATTCCCAACCTTCTACATACCCACCCTCCGGTCTACATAAGTATATCGGTTCATCGTCAATGCAAAATGGACGATGAAATCTTTACCTCCGGGCTTTAACAAATTAGTATACAAAACCGTCGATGAACCTCTCTTGGTAAAATATCTACTGCTATATACCCTTAATTTGTTAATGGTACTTTGACTGTAAAATATTTATATACATAGCTAATTATTTAGCCAAACTAAAAATTTGTTAAGTTTATAGTCACGAAGAGTAAAAAAGTCCTGAATTATTAAATATGCACATACGGTAGGTAGAAGGATTAAATTATTTTACTTGTAATATTGAAAGCAATGCGGCATAATATTACACAAATTCTGAACCACTTAGAAAATTAAAGTTACCATAAACTAATTTCGAGAAGTTTTACGCAGACCAAATTAACTGAGGAATGTCATCTGTGTCCCTTTGTCTATATATAATAAAAATTGCCTCATGCACACAAGATTATGATCTTCTCACAAAGTTTTCAATGCCACCAGTCTAATTTATAGGTTATGGAGGTTTTAGGTACAATTAGAATTATAAGATTTATCCAAGTTAGGAAGCTACTAAATGTTCGGGCAAAATTATCTTCAGTACATTTATCCCTTCTAGGATTACTAAATATTTTAAAACTAATATCAACCTCCTACAACAGGGGTCAATTCTGGACAGTAAATATATAAATTTATACACCTTACAACTTTGTATATGTATAGCACCTTCATTAAAATCACCTACCACCTTGTTGCAATAGGAGTCACTTTTCAATATGCAATGCCCCGTGAAAGTCTTTATCAGGATTTCCTATGAGCGATGTAATACATAAATAAATGCATAGATTGACAATGCCCAAGGTAATTATTTAATATTTACATGCGGAATAAAAAGTTGGCTCTAATATAGTTTACTTGATGTCAGTATGTATGCATAGACTGGTAATAAAAAATATCGTCGTGCGTATTTTTTGGTTGAGGACGTCATGGTGTGGGGTCATCGTGCCGCCGGGTTATCATGTCATGATGGTCTTAATTGTACATCAATAAAGTCAAAATTTAAATTTTGAAATTATAATTCTTTGAAATCGCCTAACGTATTCAAAACCCTCTCAATTCTGAAAATCTAATTGAGTCAAATCGGTTGAGAATTGCTAATTTAGCCTAAATTAAGTTTTCCACTGCTTACATATATGCATAGAGATCGCATGCGCCTTTGTATTAGAATGTTAATGTAGAAAAATTTTCGAGGAACAGTTTCTTATGAAAATGAATGGACTTACATAACTTTTCCATATAATTTGATTTCAATTTATTAAATCTATTTAGTTTGGTGACGAGGGTTACGGAAACAAAACATTTAATATATTTAAAAACTGACATATTTATATTGTACAGATATCAATAAATAGAAATGTGCTCACGAAAGCACGATGGTTCCTGTGTGTGTAATGACGCTACGCAATACAACATTGAGCTACTTACTTAAAACAAATTTGTTACGCTTAGTTCACAGCAGAATTAAAGGATTTAACAACCGTAGAAAAAACATTGCTACGAATTTCCACCAAAGCAACTAAACTTGCCAAAATAACAGTTCCTCCGCAGAGTATGGATAACGTTGACAACGCCCCATCTAACCTACCATATACGACATACGGTTCCAATCTTATCAATGGTTTACGGGACAAATATTTCTGGTGAATTTCTTCAAGTTGAAGTCGTCCATATATTCCACTCTCAATCACCGCCCTAAACTTCCTGGGGACCTTGGACTTGCCCCTTTGATCCAAATACCAGCTATGAAACGTTTCATTCAGAGTTTCCTTCCCCTTGTAGAATCTTTTAGAAGGGTAATATTTATTCAAGAAATCCAATTCAGCCTTAACGATTTGTGGCTTTGAAATGTAAACCGATTTCCCACACTGCAACAATTCTCGTTCCAGGTTATACCGTAACTGTAGTAGGGTCTGATTTGGATTTGAATATTGAAAACCGTTTAAATGATGTGTGTGCATCGGATGTAACAAATTAAGTAGTTGCAGTCCTATTGGAGCTTTGGTATTTTTACAACTTCCCTTACGGAACCACTTCCTATCCGTTAGACCGTTGAATAAGTGTCTTAAAAATTCCGGTAAGTCTGGGAATCCGGAGACGTACCCATTTGGTAAAGAAAGAAAATGGAAACATCCCTTCTGGGCAAATGGGTTTATTAATTCTTTAATGTACATATGCTTTAGCCTCGTTCCTGTTTTACGCGTTATCGAGTTATTTATTAATTGCAACATTGCACCAGTATACCATCCCAACTGTATTTTATCCGTTCCATTAAAACCATATTTTTGTAGCTCTTTAGCATCTACAGGTAGAGGTGTTAGGTTCTTATAATTTGAAAAGTAAAACACGATTCCTTTACATGATTCGTATTCGTGATGTACAGGCATCCTTTCACAAACTAGGTCATCAAACAATGTAGGCTTCCAAGCCTCATGTGGAGCATTAAGTTCCGTGATCATCACACCGTTATAGCAGTTTGTTAGAATCACAGACATCAAACACCAAGAGCCAAGTACTAGACGAAAAATCAAGCGCCTTTCCATTTTCCTAGGTAGGGAACCACTCTCTTCGAAAATTGTGGCAAGAACATAAAGCCAGAGGCTGGCTGACGTGTTAGCAAAATCACTTAAATACGTGAAACATGTTGTAATTACAATAATTGAGACTATAGAAACTGCTAACACAACCCACATCGATGGGTTGAACGGAGTTATGTAAAATTTAAAATTTAGGTATTCATCTCGATAACAGGCTACAAATTCCAAACCGGTTATATGCGTAATTATTAAGGTAACTTCCTGTCCAAATATTATTTTAGTACCATCAGTCATCCAAGAACAGTGACCAGGACGTTGACATTTAAGTGCCATATCGAACGTCTCATTTGCCGAGGTAAAAATTATTTCCAAAATATTTTGCAGATGTGGTTTATAAATGCATGGCAAATGGTTTGTCCGTCAAACGGATTTCCAACTCCTGAGAACATATTTATATTCAAGTGAGATAAGTCCTTGGAGTGCCTAAACCCATACTCCCATTGATGGGTATGTTCTGTAAATTCTTTACTAACGTCTAATACACTGCGGTTTATAAGATTATCCTTTCTGTCTGCATCACAAGAAAATGGCTGGTTTTGGTATAACAGTAAAGTGTCCCTGTCCAACTCATTTCTAAACCATGCGCAAATTTTAAGCTGGTTTTCTTGAGCTATAAAAAGTACAGAAATTCCAAAGTAGTAACCAGCCCAAAAATAAAGGTTGTCATGGTTATCTCGACTAGTGTCTAAGGTAACAATCGTCATTACAGCATCCTTATAAGAACGTAACCCTGTACCTTGTCTGACCGGTGGATCATATATATGTCCAACTTGTGCTGTTAGCCTCCATTCCTGTAAGGTACCCGATAAAGAATATGAGTTTAGTTCTAGGGTATTTCGAGAAATTAATATAACGAATTTGCAATGTGTAGCTGCCCGTGATTTAAGTATGTTTATAAAATATGGATTTCGTACGTAGTTAAATTTACCAACGTTGCTCAGTATCTTTACAGGTGCGTTAATATTGAACCAATCTACGTTACTTTTCCGTACGTCGTGAATTATTTGGGCGTCACATGCACTCAACTTATTTAACAAAATGTTAAATACTTGGACTACTTCGGTCCCAAAGTAACTTTGCTTAACGGATAATAATGTGTCAACGTAAATAAGTAGAAGTATTGCAAGACAAGACTGAACTCTTGTCATTCTTGTTAAGTGCATTTAATGCTAAGATCTATTTAATACTTATACATAAGCTATCATACAAATTGGTTTATTAAGTAAAGTATATGAGAACGGTCCTCACAAATCTGTTTCTTATCTGTATTTATGTATGCTTATTACTCGATCTCCACAACATGTATTGGAACATTTGGAATTCTTAGTAGGTGGTAAATGTTTTACAAATTTATTAAGACTAATAAAATTTGTCCGAGATGTACGCCTGTATGTATAATCAAGTATGGAAACAAGTGGCGCTAAATGAAATATATAGGAAATAGCGAGAGATTTAATTTATATGGATTTTGTCACTTTTTATTCGAATTTGAACCTCTGTAAAGTTCGGAATCTAGGTCTTAACAGGTACAATTCTTCAGCATGAATAGGGTAGACATGTCGTCAAGGTCTGTCTCTATGGTATTGTTAGAGGTGACCTGTTCGGTAGCCTTACGCGGCTTAAATGTCTCCAAATCGATATTTTAGGTAATTCCCTGTAGCTAACGATAAACCCTATGCTTAATTTATTAAACAGTGATTTGTGTACAAAACGGAAGGTTACTGATCCGACTTTAGTTAGCTCACAGTTTTTTTCCTGCCCTAAATTCAATTAGCTTTTCTAAATTCAATGAGTTTGATCCTCATCTTTCTAAAGCGTATTTAATACTAATCTCATATGTAATGAGGTTTGAACGGGTAGCATGGATGACATTGTTTAGAGAATTTATTCCAAGCTTTCGACAGCTATCTGCTATCTTCTTCAGGGAGCGATATTGAAATTCAGATCAAAATACAAATTGGTCATGAGGAGGACATTTTACAATATTGTTGACAATTGAAATAACTACTATGGAAAATTATTTTAAAGTAAAGGGATTAAGGTCGGAGTCCATATGGGATTTAGCTGCATGCCGTCATTTAAGTTCATGGGTCGCGGTTCAGCGTTTATGTAAAGTCCTTCCTTGAATTTTCTAGCGAAATATCTGGCTTCGTGGTGGATCATTTTTGCATCTTTGAAATTTATTGTATGAGTTGGATTGTTGGCAATGTGTTGAGCGACTCCTGATGTGTCTTTCATCATCCGGATATCTCGGCCGTGTTCTTTGATACGAACCTCAAGTGTCCTTTGTCCGGTTTCGCCCACGTAGTTATCTGGACAATCATTGCATGGAATCCTGTAAATGCCACAAGATAGTTTTGGTTTAGTATCTTTATGACAACTTAGAAAATGACGAAGCTTGATTCCAGGTGTATATCCAAAATCAAATTGTGTCTTTCGTCTGAGATAATCCGTTAAGCGACTTGTTGTTGGTCCAGTAAACGGTAAAACGAATCTTGGTGTTGTATCCACAGTAGAGGGGTGAGAATTAGTCTGCACTCGTTGTTTCATTTTTTCAATTCTTCTGTCAATAAGGGATAGAGGATAACCATTGCCCCGTAAAATGTTTCTGATATGTGATAATTCAGCATCTAAAGACATTGAGTCACAAATTTTAAAAGCTCGATATGCCAATGCGTCCACTACTGATATTTTATGCGACATATGATGGAAGGATGTAAAATGTAGATATCTGTCTGTATGTGTCAATTTTCGATGGATCGTGTGACCAAATGTTCCATCAGGTTTGGTATTCAAACGTACATCCAGGAAATTGATTTTACCATCATCTTCTAATTCCGTGGTAAATTTTATATTATAGTGAAAAGAGTTTAATTTCTTCAATATCTCTTGGCATTTTCTTCCCTTGATTATGGTGAAGGTATCATCTACATATCTTTTCCAGAAATGGATAAATGGATTTGGAAGGATAGTATCTTCTAGACTTTCCATAAAAAGATCAGCAAAAACGGGTGAGATTGGGGACCCCATCGGTATTCCATCTTTTTGTTGGTATATTTTGTCACGAAACTTGAAATAACTGCACTTTAAGCATAGCTCGATCAAGAAAATGATATCTTCTTCTGTTAGGTCTAATATCATAGTCTAATATCATAGTTAATACTAATATCATAGTCTGATAAGCTACCCAGCCAATTAGCGTATGACGTTGTCCAGTACAGTATATGAGAACAGTCCTCATAAAACTATTTTTTATCTATATTTAGTTATATTGCAACCCAATCTCAACAACTTGTATTGGGACATTTGGAATTCATCGTATTGGGACATTTGGAATTCATCGTATTTGGCCAAGGCTTTATATAAATTTAGTAAGATTAATAAAATTTGTCCAAGGTATACGTATGTATATGGGGACAAACGACGCTAAATTTGATATGTAGGAAATAGCGAGACTTTCAACTCATATAAACTTAGTCACTTTTTATTCGAATTTAAACCTCCGTACTGCTCGGAATCTTGGTCGGGAGGTCGTGATGGTTACAATTCTTCGATATGAAGGGGGTTAGACCTGTCGTTCAAGATTTGTCATCTACGTACATATGCGTTATTCAATGTGACCTTCTTTGCACGCTAGCCTTACGTGGCAGAAATGTCTCCAAATCAATATCTTAATTCTCTACCCTTTACATATCCACCGGTTCATCTTTCACACAAACTATGTACACATAAAGGACGATAAAATAATTAAATGCTGGCTTTTAATATATTACTTCACAAAACCGTTGATGCGCCACTCTTGGTGAAATATCTGCTGTCATGCAAACTCCTTTTGACTGCTCAATACATATTTAGTATATTGTTTAGCCAAAATACAAATTTTCTTGTGTTTCTATAATCTGGCCACGAAAGGTCAATGGATCAATAATTGTTGAATTATTAAATACATACTGTACATACGGATCAAGTTATTTTAATACTAAAACTTTACAAAATCGCGTAATACATATTTATATATACATACATTCTTAATTATTCAGAAAACAAAATTTAGTTTCCAATAATTTCGAGAAGTTTTGCTTAAACTAAGGTAACTGAGGAATGTAATTATTCATTGATTATGTCGCTACGTATGTAAGGATAAATTATTCAAAAAAAGTCGCAAAGGGTTTGTTCTCTGTAGAAATATATGGCTTTATGAAATTAAATCAAATTCTAATAAATTATTCCAGAGTACAAAATATTTATATTTGCATTTAATTTAATCGAATTGTTTAATATCTGCTGCCATGTACCCTCCCTTTATTATTGGTCCTTTGACTGTACAATGCATACCACACCATATAATGCATACATATGGTTGAAACTAATAGTGGAAAGTTCATATGCTAAGATATGTCTCATAGAAAACTTAGCTTCGTGAAAAATTTTACCCATTAGAATTCGTCTCTTATATTGTCCCAAAAATGCTGTCCCAGAAACTTTATAACATCCCTTTATCTATCTTTTAAAATCGGTCAACACCTTGATCCCATAATAACGACGTTGGTGAAAGTCGTTTCCGAAAGTAACATTACCCTGAACGGTGCCGAAACGGTCATATGAAAATCCATAACTAATTTCGTCATATTGATATAGGTATGTAGTGTTATTGGTGTTTGCCGGGTAGAAGGATTTACATGGTGGCTCAACCCCTATATACGGAAGTTGTAGTGGCACCATTGGATTATTTAGAGGCTAGGCGTTTTAGCTATTAATAAGTTATTGGGTTTATACATATGCAATTGGTTTTCAATTCTTTTAATGTTCTACTTTTTCTTGAAATAAACTTTTATTTTTGTCACCGACAATGAAAATGTTTGTTAGAATTATACTAAAATAAATTATATTGTGCACTATATTCGTTGTCGTGTCGCATTTGAAAATGGGTAAATATGTCAATAAAATTAACTTGCATGTTTAATTGCTGAAAATTAAATTTTTACACATGTTGAAAAGTTTTAGCTAAACGATGCAACTGGCGACGAGTCTTTTGTTTAGTTGTGCGCACATAAATCCTTTCATACTTGCTTATCCAGTTCCTGTTTACCCTGTTTACCCTGTTTATCCAGTTCGAACGCATCCTAGAACGCAGGTTAGAATGGTTTGCTTTGTTATTACTCAGCTCGTTAAGACATGTACGGCACGAGTCCCTTGTACTTCCTGGATTTGCATCCCTTCTTTGTTTGTAATATGTTCTGGCTAGCTTACGAGTTTCTTCTTTTGCACCTTAATGTAAACAAATGTAATGATTAAATTGTGTTATGAACTGTATTATTTACATTATGAAAAAAGGTGGTATCAGAGGCCGGCACAAATATGTACTAGAGATTAGAGGTATAACATAACTGATGACAAATTTGGAGTAAAGATAAAGTCTCCACCGACCTCTGGGTTGCATAACTTAGAGGAGATTTAAATTGTCTTACCTCTGTTAGAATTTAGTATTTTTCGCTTTTTCTCTTTCCCCCTTAAACCCTGTTAACCCGTATAATGCTTCACAATCCGGACATTTATTTGCATAACGCCGATCAAAAATATTGTTCTCACCCTAAAAAATCATAGGTGATAAAAAATAATGAGAATAATATATTTACAATTATGCACCTTAAAGATATCCTCGTGAACTTTAATTTTAATATTTTCAGGCCGTCTGTAAGCTGGATCTACGCGTTTACTTGGATCCCATTCTTTCCGTAAACCTGACAAGCTTTTTGTAACGGTATTCCCATCTTTGTCAATGTAACCAACTTCCACGTGTTCGATTCCCTCAGCAATTCTGGCAGGGACAGCATCTGCACACATATCGCAGAGAGGCTTATTTACTCCGAGAACAAATTTATCCCCTGGTTTCTGATTTAGTTTGATTTCATTGATCAACTGTGCTTCTGCGTGTGCGCCTCGACTCTCTACACTATTTGTTGGGCTAGAGTGTTGCTTGACGAAATAAATTTCTCTCTTAAATCCGGACGTTTGCTGTGTGCGAATATGTATTTAATTATTGAGAGTTGTTTAATCTATGAAACTTAGTTCGTTTAGTTCGTGTCGGAAAGATTAAATCCAGCTCAACGTTAATACATAGGTGTATCGTCCTCGCACTCGTTATAGCTAAGGGGGATGTGGTAATTCCAAATAAATTCCACTTTGAGAACGATACATAAATATATTTTCTTAATGTCACAAAATTACGTTATTTATTTCAACTGTCACTATTAAAAACAAGAATAATGTGAACAGTACAAAAATATGTGACTTTCTTGCGTGAGTTACAAAATGGTACTTTTTTCTACGTCTTACTTCTCCGTCTTCCTTGCTCACACTTACTTGCTCACACTGAGAGAATAACCGACAACGTTTTCTCTCTTTGTTCTAAAAATAGACTGGAATTTTCCCGAAGGAATCTAAAACTAACCGCTAAGTCTTTCCGGGGGACCAACTGAACGAGTACAGAAGGTACATTTGTCACTAAATTGTAAACATACATGTGCAGATTTTACAACTTTTGAGGCGATGGCCATATCGACTTCGTCCAATCCGAAATCCGCTCCTTCATTATTACTTGTAACCGTTGAGAAGATGGAAGCAGAGATGTAGATATTGCCATGGATTTCTGTTATGGCAACGGTAGTAAATTCCCACGATGGTTTTTCACCTTTTCTTAAAGTTGTTATATCCTCAGCATTATGAGTCTCTGAAGTTCTGGCGTGGTAAAGTTCAAACGCAATCTCTCTAGAAAGTTCTGCCGCAACTTTTGAGGTAAGGAACGGCTTCACGTGGGACAGCTGTTGACGTTTTTTGTTCGTTTCTGCCAAGTCCTGTTATTCATGTTTTTTTTAATTTGAAACGAAAGATTTTCTTCAGAGCCGCGTTCCCGCGAATCTCATTTCGATTAGATATGTGTGAAATGTTGTAAGTTTAAAATCGAAGTCCCTGTTTAATGTCATTTATGTCTATAAAGTTAGATTTATAGAAGGATTTTTGTTTAAAAAATTATATGTCATCAATGTGATGGGTGTTTTAGTTATAATCTTCTAGAGAAATACTTCCTACTAGCTTTGTAAATATTGAATTGTTTAAATTTGTGAAAATTAAACATTACCACATAAACGTTGAGGGCGACTATGCCATTTTAATTAAAACATTACATACGGAGTAAGATGAGATTAGCTAACGGATACGCGCCCACCCATTCCACCTTAAGTTCAGGAATCTTACCTTGGGCAGAAACAACAAAGTTAGGATAACGTAGCAAATCAACATTTTTCAATGAGGTCTTAGCATTTTTTTTACTTAAACGCTAAATAATTCCTATACACAGTTGTATGTTTTATTTAAAGTTGTTTATGTAAAAGCCAGTTAGATAATGTGGCACATAAAGTCGGTGTTTATTCATCTACCATAAACTGACTCGCGGGATAACAGACAGGTTATGATACCATTATCATAATTTACAGCGTGTGTCGGTGAAACTTTGATTCAGTTATTTGAGCTTTAGGCGAATGGGGTAATTGAGCATACATACATAATCCGCATAATTTAATTTAGTTTATTGCATGAGATTAATTGCATACATTTGAATGACTAACTTCACACTAATTCTGAATAGCCTTTGTATGATTTCGCCTAATCAATTAAAATTAATGCCGCATTTTATGGGAAGCTTTTATCGGTAATTGGTTCTATCCTATGTCACGCCTTTGATAAAGACCGCAGTAAGAATTTAATTGTCCATGATGAAATTGAATTAGATTATTATGCATGTAAATATCTTATAAAACAAGCATTTCATTTATTTTTAGTTATTACTCTAAATTACATGCACAACATATATGATTTGGTATAAGACATGTTTGAATAAGGGAAGAAATGATATCAATGAATAAAAGTCACACTGGGTAATAAGATTGTGTCGAATTACTACATATTTACGTAACCCAGTCAAATGATAGTGAAACCGGTATGTACTTGACGTGTTCCAGCTCCAGCTCTACAAGATCTGCATATTTCACACACACACAAAGTATTGCAAATTATCCACTTATTATACATTATGATGGTAAAAATTATTGATGTTAATAATGGGGTCTGTTTGTTCTGGTTTTACAGGTAAGTGCAAAACAAATAATTGTGTAAACCTCAATTTTGTTAGGCCACATATACTTCATTCCAAGCTATATAAAATTTAAATCAAGCCAGTGTTGGTAATTATTAACTCGATGTGTCACATAATAATATCCCTGCCCAAACGAATAGCGCCGGAAGAGTTAGTCAGGGTAGTGGCCATATTCCAAGCGTACCGGAAGACAGACAGACATACAAACACACAGGCGGAGACCGGGATACTCTTATTCTTAATAAGAATAGCCCAGTGTCTATCTTTCTTCCGTCGGTCTGTCCGGAACGCTTCCTTAAATGCTGTAATACTAAAGCATTGATTGATAGGCGAGCGCGGGAAGTCCATCGACACCAAAGTAAAACGTCTCGACAGGACAGTCAACTAAGATTTGCGGTCTGGGCCGGGATTTAGTTTTCAGTCTTTCCGGGACCAACTGAACGTTTAGCCGAAGCTTAGCAGAGCCGAGTGAAAGCTACTGGTTAGAAACTATCGATATCGGCAGACAAGTACCGAAGCAAAATCTTTACCAAGGTAGCTGCCAACACCGCCCACAAATCTGATATCCACAGAAATTGCATCAAGTCTGTAGGAACCTTGCTACTTTACTTGCTCCTCTTCTTCTCGGTATACATTTAATCTTTTGATGGTTCGTCACATGGAGGAAGAATTACTTACCATTGGTCACGTAAGCACATTTTATATATTCGTATGATCTCACGTGCAACATCAAGTATTTACTTACTATCAAAATAATATATTGGATTACAGTCGCCGCGCATATTAACTTCACCAGGCACGCCATGCTCGATTGTATAGTGATAAGTTGGTTTGTTTTATTAGGATTGCACAATTTGTATTATCCGCATTATTGTCAATTTATATTCTCAATTTATGGTTTATCGTGAATTTATATAAATATACAGGTACGTATTTAAATATATTGTCTCCATACGTGGCGATAGATAGACTTTTTATCAAGAAGGTTCTCTTTGCATATGCCAAAAATATCTACAGGTACTATAAGACAAATCAAATTTCCTCCATGCTCAATTAAACAGTCCACAACTCATTATGAATTTCATTTACAGATGGAACCATATCCAATAGTTCGTATACTGATATTCCAAATACGATGACCATCATCACACTCTCGTAAAGTTGAAATCCCGTTCGTGACTCGAGATTGTACATGATCCACCACAAAGTGATTTCGTCCAGGAAAAGAATAACCTGTATTTCAATCCAGATTTTGTCCAATTTTTTCTTCATTTCCTACGGAAAATTTGAAAAAATATGTAATATTTTTACAAAATAATCTTAATACATTTTTAGCGATGGTAGTCTTGACGTACTTCATTCAATTCACTGCTCAGCGCAGCACAGGCTGATGTATGGGCGAAAAAATCAAGGATGATGATAATTAAAAACGAAATCCATGCCCATCCAGCAAATTTTAGTTGTGATAACTGAAAATAAAGTTTACCCGTTAGTCACAAAGTGTTCTAAAATTTATGTAATGGCTGTACCAAACACATGAAAAATGCTAGTTTTCCCACGCTATGTAATTTTGCCAAACCAGGTGTTATCATTTTCGAATTTTATTGATAACAGAAAAATAAAAGTTTAATGCGTAATCTAGGCCACTATTATAGAACTGAAGTTCCGGAACAGAGTAACATGCATACGTGAGTAGGTTGAGGGAGAAAGTTCGCCTTATGCTCTTCTAACCCGGGTGTCCATGGTTATCCGACCATGTCAAGCGAGTGTCGGAGAATTTAATGTACAAAACCCGGGTAAGAACTACTTTGCCACTTCGACTTCACATGCTTTGATTCATACGTACATGCATTTGTAAGCAACATACAAACTTAAATACGAAATTCTAAATCATTGGGCATACTCACCTCAACGTTTTTGAACATTTATGTACTGCTTAATTATAAACTAAATAGAATTAATGAGATAACATAATTGTCCGCTATATTGTACGTTGTATTGTTACTGTAGGATTCGTCACCCCTTTCCTTACCCTTTGTATGTATGTATGTATGTAGTGCGGGAGGAGGAAAGGTATGTAACTGTTCGTTCTCCGAAACATTTCCTAATATTACTTATTAATTTATTCAGTCCGTACCGTACTTGCCAACTTATACTTTGTGTTTTTAAACGAGAGGACGATGTGATGAAAAGTGATCACAATTACTCCAACTCGTATAATTGTACCTACTTACGTACATATGTACGTAAATGTGTACGTACATTCTGTTTTGTGTATTTTCTATATGCGGCGACATTATGTAATGCCTTCAATGCCACAAATACCATTTATTTGTTACATAGTTAAAACACCTTATTCAATTAACTAATAATTTCCGTACTCATTCATTTCCCTTTGGTCAAGTTGTGACAAGTGTGGCGAGCGTCTCACCATCTAGCGCAATGAGGTTGCCTTGGGGGAGAGGAGTTTGACTCCGCACATACTCTCGCTTTGTTTATACTGTTTTGGTGACTTAAAAATTCATCATCAAACCCCACAAATGTTTTGGTAACCATTTTATTTTATTTTTTTTCAAACAGTGCTCAAGTTGTTTTTCTTTAATTAAATATCGAAATGTTTTTTTTTTAATTTTTCAAAGAACATGGCGCACAATGTATGACACAATGCTCGTTTGTACGATTTTTCGAAATTTTTGACATGTTGTAGATCTTTAGCAGTGGATCAATACTTAAATTACCCTTAAGGCCGAAATTGCCATCCATGACCTTATTTTAGGGGTCGAAAGGTCGAGAGGTCAAATCTCATAAACCCCCACAAATGGGGCATCTTTGGAAAGGTCGCCCAGGGGGTTCAGAATATGTATACATTGCGGGATTAACCACTTAATCTGGTTCAAATAAAAGCTTCCCTAACCTCAGATTAGGAAGCATGTGTGGAATTGGAAGGAATGAACTCAGACCCTAAAAAGTATACAGATTCTTGACCCCCTAGGCGATACCCAATTTGTGGGGATTTATGAGATTTGATGGACGAGCATTGTGCCATACATTGTGTGCCATGCTATTTATGAGAATTTAAGACTTTTTTTGAAAATTTGTCAAATTTTTGAAATTTCTGCAAAATCTGGTGTAATTTTAGACGTGAAAACAAAGAGGCTTCTAAATCATTTGTGGGTTTTCAAGATGAATTTTTGGGTTCAATATACTAAGGCTCCTCAGGTCGTTCAATTTGTCTACGTTCATCACATTTTACGCTCCGAGTGAAAGGTCATACAGTGTCAGCGGTCAAATGTGGAGAAAACATTGACCATCAACTCCAACATCACCACATTTGTCATTACAACAGCCAAATTCCATTATTTATGATCTCAGAATGAATACGGGTTTCGGACAAAAATCGTTTCTTTAGCACCTTCTCACGTAAAGGAAAGCGTTAATTTCGTAAAATTTTCAACCCTTCAATGTAGACGTCATCAATGAACGACGAAATGACTTCACCACATAATACAAGTAATAATTAAAATTGCTATTTTATATTTATCCTATTATATGAAATATTTTATCATGTTTTATTTTCTTATCTCTTCGCGTGGTGACTTGTTATTGCGATCAATGTTTGAGATCAACATTATTTACTAAAGTCGCTTGAATAAACGATTGAATTCAATTTAATCGAATTAATTTAACCTAGCTTCTCATCCAATTAAGTATTAATCTAGATAAATATTTGATGACGTCTTTTCTTATGTAAGGCCGTAGTTACGAAAACACAACAAACTAAGTAAGCGTTCAGTAGGGTTACAAAAAGTGACATTAGAACAAAACTTTGCCATTTCTCAACCGATTTTGATGACAAGAAAGCGCAGAGTCAATTATTGGAATGTAGAATCGTAGATGAAGTACTGTCGGTATCGGAGATGTTTACCAAAAACCCCTCTGAAATCGAGCTGTGACGGATTTGAAAAAAAACAGGGCTTAACTAAAAAATGTATTCCAAAAATATTAAAATAAATATTTTTGGCTACCGAATAATCTTAGGTGATCAAAATCGAGTAAGAAATGAGAAAGTTTTCTTTTTATTATTTTTTGACGGAGACTTAAATTTTTGCCATGTGTACATTAAAAAATTCAGAGACCTCTATCATCTTCCAATAATAAAATTGGACTTTAACTTTGACCACTTATAAATTATTAAGGGATTACTAAGCAAAAATTATTCCTAGGTCGGTGATGCTTGGGATGCAAAATCTTTTCGGTAGAGGTGGGGACGAGGGGATTATTCTGATCGCACTTTTAATCGCACATGTAGTCTCACCTAAGCCATTCTTTTTTGGGTTTCGTTTATTGACATTAAATTAAATTGACATTTATTATTTATTGACAGAGAAAGAAAATAAATTGTTTTTTTTGTATTAAAAAAATTATTTTGTTATTGCCAGTCCACTCCGGAATAAATTGCTTAATACCTAATGCATTTACAATTTTTTAAACAAATATCCAATCCTGTGGACACCAATCTACCTATAGGCATGTGGATTCATAAATATATTCAGAACTTGTAAGAGATAGCTTAGTAAATAAAATACTTTTCGAGTTGGGTAAAATTTTACCGTACTGGATAAATAGTATCGACTGGTTCAATTGCCCACAAATTTCATGTGTTCGAAAGAAAAATTTAAAATTGCATCACAAATTAATAAAACCAAAGTAGCCTGAAGAAGCTGTCAATACGGCGAAACCGGTCGCAGCTTTGCGAAATAAGTCAGGAACTTGACAAAATTTGTGTCGATGTATTGGTTGGAAATGTTTTCTTCACATAATAAAAATTGAATATGGCAATTTATCTGAAAAACGGTGATATCTTATTAAATTAAGATTTAGCTTCGAAATAGATTTTCGAAAATGATAGTCATGAACAAAGTGGCACCTATAGAATGTTCTTTAGTGCCCTTTCTAATGTGGCAACTTCTCCACACATATTGTTACATGTTTAACCAATTTTCGCACCTACCATATGATTTCTCACTAAGAAGGAAGACACTCATCGTCAAAAAGGACAGCATTAAGGGGAAAATCATTTCGACATCTAGCTTCACATGGCTCTTCGCGCAATCTATGACATGTGGATGTTTTCTTAGTTGGAAACTATTCACAAAATCGAATTATCGAATAACCAACCAAGACATGGAAATGATTGAAAAACTTCGAATATTTGCGAATATCTACTACGCAATTCTAACCGTTGCCATGACTGGAATGTCTGCAACAATAGCGTTTCATCCCAACGTCATAGCTACCATTGTTAATCGGATTGTCAAATTTGAAGACAAACTTAAAGGTAATTTCGTATAGAAAAGTGCTTCTTCATGAAATTTATTATATATTTTCTTAATGCTGCAGTAAATTGGAATGCCAAAGCTACCACGAGAAGATCACCTATGTGGATACAAAATGTTTTAATATTTCTCTTGCGGGGAACCATCATTCCAGCAATTTTGATCGGGCCAGGATTAGCTATAATTAACATGCATCCTTTAAATATTTGGCTAAAGAGTGACTACATAATGCTGAATTTGATCTTGAAACCTATCACAATCTGTTTGTCTTATTGTCTCAGCATCGAGCTAACTAAATCAGCCCTCGCATTTTTAATTATGGGGCTAATCGTGATGAAAAGTGTATCCAAGGGAGCGACCATATTGCGGGAAATGTTCAAATTTAAAATATTGAGGGGAAGGATGATCATCCCCTTGTCCGAAATTAGAATCTACCGCGAATTTCAAATCTGGAATCAACAAATCAACGCAGCATTTGGTTACAGGTCTGTTCCACCCCTCGTATTTTGTGGGGTTTGTATAACTACTTGCTCACTGTATGGAACAATCAGGATGTACGTATCACTTCCGATATTTGTGTATCCGCTACTCCCACTCACAACAATGCTTTCGGTAATATTTCAGTTTACCCTGTTACCGCAAGCGGCGGAAGGATTTGAAAAATCTGTGGATTTCATAGCTTTTGTGAGAAGGAAGTGTAACGTTAATTATTTTAGAAAAGTGGCCAGATCGTTAAGACCGCTTGGATTGAGGTGTGGTCCATTTGGAATCATATCGAACACATGGACAGTCAGGATATGGAGTACAGTGTCCGATTTTACAGTTACCTTGTTGCTAACATTGTAACGCATCCATTAGTGTAAAGTTTTGATTTAATATTAACGCTAGAATTAATCTGTATATTTTATAAATGTAGCCATTTATTATATACGTAATGCTATTAGCTATATCCAAATATTAGGAAATTGATAAGTAATTTCGGTGTTTTGATAATATTATGAGAATCACTAATGATGAAGTACTATGATGTAATAGTATAATTACTGAAGATAAGTTCACATCGATAATATGCAATGTTATAGCGGAAATCTAAATATTATGATTATGGTAATGAATTGGGAAGTAAGAAGGATATCTTTTTTAAAGGACGTCTTTTTTTCCTCGTACCGCTTGAGGAGCGCTTTGCATTTTTTGACCCTAGCTTCCTTTTGGGGAATTATTAACATGTGGCATTTGCCACGTTTTAAAGCCTTCATACCAAGGTCCAACTTTAGGGGTCTGGTCATCGTCAATTTCGAAACCTTCATTTGTAGAGCCAACTTTCCTTGTCGGCGGCGTGGATTTCTTCTTATTCTGGCCTTCAGCGCTTTCAACATGCTCGGTGTCCTCTTTGACCTCGGACGACCGGAACTTTGACGTACTTTGGTAGACCCTGTCTCTAGGAATCTTGTAATTGTTCGAGCAACCAACATAAAATTGACTTTTGAGGTTTTCATAGCATTTACAATTTCGGATTTTTTTTGCCTTGTTGAAAGTAAAAAATTATTGCCGCCCGCTTCCTTTCCATGTCCTATAGCTCCTAAAGTTGACCGAATTGATAAAAATGAGGATATACGTTTTCAAGGTATTGAGTTAAGGAATTGTTTACAACTTACCATTTAATTATTTCTTATCAGGTTTTTAAACTACGCGCTACTAACAGTCATTATGAAATGACCAGGTACATACAATCGCCACAGGTACAATTAGTTGAAATAAAAAATGTTACCTCGTTTCACTCCAAATTGAATGAATTGTGAGTATCAATCGCGTCAATTAAACGTCATTATAAAACCGATAAACAGACAATTACGTAAATCCCCTACTCTGACAGTGTTACATAACTGCAAATTGCAGTCTGCAATTAATCAATTAATTATGCAATCAAGGTTGACCCTTGTGAAATCTGAACAACGAAAAGACAAGCAAAATCCATTAGCGATTGATTCACATTACATTGTTAGCGAGGATGAGGTACATATAAATTTGAGATCAATTCTCCTCCTTCGCATCACACCTTGCTTCAACTCGACACCATGAATTCATCACTTATAATTCTTGTCATCGCCTCCTGTTTCGCTGTGGTGGCAGGTATGAAGCTACATATCTAGGATACAAATTGTTTTCCTGTCTCAACTTACCCAAGTATGTAACTAAAAAATTAACCATTCTTGGAAATATATGTAAATAGCCGCTCCACAGCCTAAACAGGAACATCCTGAGGATCCAGTTCCAACCGTTAATGGTATGTCGTACAATCTACATATGTAATAAAGGTCATGGACACTTGTCGGGAGTTTTGAATTGATTCAGATACCACGCTTTGTATGTACACTCTCATTCTGTTAAATTCTGTATAATTTGAAAATCATAAATCCAGTAGTTTGTTCTTGCCTTCAAATTGAAGGGTGTGAACCCAAAAACTCCTTAAAACCTGTGTTCAATCTGATAAAATTTACTTTATGTTCCCAAAACAAAGGAAAATTATCTCGAGTGGATCTGTATAACATTAATATTTGGCCGAAAGTCTATGATTTCTTCCCACATAGCAAGTCTTAATCTGCCACAGTATTTAAACCATGTTTAAAAAATTAGTGACGACCTGTGGCGGTCTTGTGGACGCGACTTCTGCCACTATCGAGTTTCAACTTGGCGGTTCGATCCGCGCGGATATGCGATGCGTATGGATTGTCCGGGCACCATATTTCACAAAACGGTTCAACCTGGTTTCATCTGGTCTTAAGGAATCCGACGGTCTCTACTTTACTCCGCAATCTAAGGATGGGCTAGGAACCTCACAAAAGCTGTAAGAGTTTAAATTTTTTCTAGACAGACGTTATATATTTACTATCACCTGACCCCGAATAGTTGATGATTTTTTTAAGAATTGAAGAACACACCAATTCAACTTAAATCAATAACTTAAACGATTTAATATGGGTAACTTCCCAGGTGTCAAACGAGTTATAGAGACGCTCAACACTTACCAACACACATACCAAGATATGCCCAATACATGTCTTCTGACCAGAAATGCTGGAATTTCCGTTTCAAATTAATTTTCCTCAAGTTATGACCATGACGCGCCATCACCACTGAGGCATGACCTTGACTGACACAGCCCCCTTTTCCGGAGGCTCTCGATGCCTGTCGCTCATAATGATAACCCTCCTCATTAAAAAAATATCATCCCAACTTAACGTAGACTTAATCTGATGCGGAAATTCTCTTACTAAGAAAACATGTATCGTGCACAGTTTCGTATTCAATTCCACCCCTTACTCAACTCGCTTGACACCTCGGAAGCTTCCCATACACGTGCTGAATTTGAACTGTATTTAATTTTCAGCGGTACTATTGGCCAGAACGTAACTATCCATCAGAAAATAGTGATCATCACCCTTATCGTTGGACACGCCCCAACTTTCGGGTTTAAGCTGGAATATTATTCTAGCGGTTCTAACTGGAATACGGATCTCACGGGATACGCAGTCTTGGCTACGACGAAGGGAAATTTAACCTACCCCATAAACGGTGGGAATTACAGGAGCTTCGAGAATGCTTTGTTTCCCATTGCCCCAACTGTCCCGGGACAACCAACCCTACGTTTTACAAGGGTAGATCTTGAAGTACATTCGTCCTGCTTGTATGACTCAATTAAGACGTATAATTGGTTCAATGGGGAGTACCGTCAAGTATCAATGTGAGCAAATTGTTATAAATTTATTCCAAAATTTAATCATTCCATAGTTTAAAAAATATTAATTGCTATTTTTATACATGCAGGATTTGTGGAAACATAATTCCACCCAGTGTCACACTCCAGGATGGGCTTGGATTCGTCCTTTTTGTATCAGATATAAACAACGAAAGGACAGGGTTCGAATTTGCATATGAGTGATGAAGAATATACAAATGACAAATATTTCAAATTTGCCTTGTATGTACATATGCAAATGTTTGATTGCCTTACGAATTATCAAAAAATATACCATAAGTTGTTATTAAATGCTTTAAAGACTTTGTACGTATCGAATAATGCCACATTACACGGATGATGCAGGATAAAAAACACAACTTAATCATACCAACGTGCTTATTTATGTGGCTAACAATGACTGTTGGCATACACCGGTGTACAAAATAACATAAATATACAACATACCTGGTCATTGCATAATGGGTGTGAGTAGCGCGTAGTTTAAAAACCTGATAAGAAATAATTAAACGGTAAGTTGTAAACAATTCCTTAACTCAATACCTTGAAAACGTATATCTTCATTTTTATCAATTCGGTCAACTTTAGGAGATATAGGACTTGGAAAGGAAGCGGGCGGCAATAATTTTTCACTTTCAGCAAAAGCAAAAAAAATCCGAAATTGTAAAGGCTCAGAAAACCTCAAAAGTCAATTTTATGTTGGTTGCTCCAACAATTACAAGATTCCTAGAGACAGGGTCTACTAAAGTACGTCCTAGTTCCGGTCGTCCGAGGTCAAAGAGGACACCGAGCATGTTGAAAGCGCTGAAGGCGAGAATAAGAAGAAATCCACGCCGCCGCCAGGGAAAGTTGGCTCTACAAATGAAGGTTTCGAAATCGACGATGACCAGACCCCTAAAGTTGGACCTTAGTATGAAGGCTCTAAAACGTGGCAAATGCCACATGTTAACAATTCCCCAAAAGGAAGCTAGGGTCAAAAAATGCAAAGCGCTCCTCAAGCGGTACGGAGAAAAAAAGACGTCTTCGATCCTCTGTACGGATGAGAAAATCTTCAACACGGATGAGTATTTTAATAAACAAAATGACCGAATCTATGTCAGATCAGTCATGGAACTACCAATTCAAAAGAAAGGTCAAAAGGTCACACCATCCTGGCTCAGTGATGGTTTGGGCGGGAGTGAGCGAAAAAGGTTGCATTTCGTTGCATTTCGTTGAGAAAGGGGTCAAGGTCGCCGCAAAAAATTCAAAAAATTCGTCCTGGAACCCGTGGTGAAGCCCCTCAACGAAACCATGTTCAACGCAAAGCCTTGGACCTTCATGCAAGACTCAGCACCAGTGCATAAGGCAAAAATCGTGCAATCCTGGCTCAAAAACAATGTTCCAGACTTCATTTCTACTGCGGATTGGCCCTCAGCATCGCCGGAGCTTAACCCACCGGACTATGTCCTGTGGACTAAACTTGAGGCAAAGGTGTGTAGTAAGCCTCACAAAAGTGTGGAGGGGCTGAAAAAATCCGTACTCGTGGAGTGGGACCTTTTGCCCATGGAAGGGGTGCGTAATTCGGTGGGCGCTTGGCGCTCGCGTTTACAACAGTGCATCGATGCTGGAGGAGGAAATTTTGAAGTTTAAGATATGTGTCCTCATCAGTGTTTCTTTTTGTGCGCACAAAATTATTTTTGTGCATGCATAGTGCATAAAATGCACAAAAATGCATAAAATGCACAAAAATGCACAAAAATGCATAAAAATAAATATCGAGGCAGAATGCCGCTAATTTCACATTTCACTTTTATATACGCTCAACAATAATTGAGCATTGTCATTTTCTAACAATCAAAATTTTATCAAGTCGGAAATTACGAAAAGTATTTTTAAATTCCAAATATTAGAAAATTGTTTTACAGTGCTAATATTGTTGAAAAACATCGTAAAATAGCTTAGCATTCGTCCATTATCTTAAATATTCAGCGTTGCTGCATGGTAATCAGCTAAATTATTTTTGTGCATTTTTGTGCATTTTGTGCACTTTTCCGGATTTTTGGTGGGTGTTATTAAACGCATAAAAACATTTTTATGCACTAATTTTGTGCAGGTGTTTTTTAACAGCAGAAACACTGGTCCTCATTGAAAGTTAACTGGCTTTTCAAAGAAATAAAAATTTAAAATTGATTTTTAAAATCCAGTGAGATATAGCTGCTTTCCTTACTCACAGTCATTATGAAACGACTAAGTATAATGTTGTGTTACATAAAAACCGAAATTATAAAGAAATTATAAAAAAATTATAAAAATTATAAAGAAATTTGAATGGATCCTTTATATGGGGTCCAAGTAGATTCTAAAAAACATAGTGGGTACCCTGAACCAGGGTTACAGTCGAGGACCATACCTTGTTAGTGCATGGGATCAGGTTATGGTGCAGCAATAATTCTTAATCAAAACGCATAAATATTTAAGTATTGTCTTTATATATAAGAGTACTACTTGTATGTAATACTTTCTGGGAAAATGGTACAGGACAAATATCAGATATTTACATAAATTTTGCGTGCAAACTCACTGGTGCTATTCTTGGTTTCCGTTTATTAATTTATATGTGTAAAGTTTATTTTACACGCATGCAGTTTGAGGCACTGTGGACTCAACACACCTACAACAACTTGTCCTGTGTCTGAGCTAGTGTTTCGACTCAACTTTACAGCGACAACAGCACCCGAAAATTTGGCAGGACTTGTTATTTCAAATGTTTTTTACGATGGAAGAAAAGTTAGGGAAGAGTTTTTAACTCCGGGTTTAGTTTTCAGACTTAGTTGGATAAAACATAGGATAGAAACGAGGAAAGTGAAATACAGTATTTTTGCCTTACCAGAACAGCTAAAGGAAAAAGCTCTACTTAAAATTATTGATGTTTTGTCGTTTTCTATCTTAATATTTGTTGGATCTTGTTTAACCTTAATAATTTATAAGAATAAGGAATTCGTCTTTGCTCCGTGTACCTGGACTTTGAGTATGTTCCTGCAACAGGGAACAAATATCGTTATCAAGCCTGTGCAAGCGAAGAATAACCGCGTCAGCTTGTTCTTAACGTATTGTATAATTTTAATTTGGTTATTTAACGCATTCTTTGTGGGAAGCATATTTGGTGGAGAATTTTTCGCAATTTTCACATCCAACAGGGTGCCACAAGTACCCCAAAACTTAAAAGAGTTAGTCCAAGGGACAAATATTCCCATAAGTTCGTTTGGAAGGACCATTACTGCACAAGATGGTAGTGCGATTAGTACCTTGAAGGAAAATATAGACTCACAATTGCTTGAAAGACCAGAGTACTCTTCAGAATTACGTAAATTTTTAAGTGCACTGAAACACAAAATTGATTGGGTATATCCCAGGAATATATTTGAATATGCTCGATCCATGTCTATCAATGTTAATCGCTCGGTTACCAGGCCCAACATTTTTGCAGTGGTTGACACTACAAGTGATCTTCAATTGTTCGAAAGCTGTTTGGGTTTATTTAAAAAATATTTTATAATTTCTAATAGAGAGGATGACGAACATCTAGATACTGTGCGGATACCATTGGAACCCTTCCAATGGTGTCCAACGACTTAAGGGTCGACACCTATACCAAAATGTGCACAATACATGACTTTTACCGTAAACTGAAGGAATTTCCGTGTAAAATTCACTTTTCGTCAAGTTGTGACGATATTTGTGACGAGCGGATGACCATCGAGCGCAGTGGGGGGAGTTTGACTCGCTCAACCTCTCCTTTGTTTACCTTTCCTGTCCATGAAAAATCCATCTCCAAAATCAACCAATATTTTGATATCGTTCTTTTTTTATTTTCTCAAAAATTCCATTGTTTTTAATTTTATCGAAATTGCATTCATTTTTTCAAAATTTTTTCAAAATTTCATAAAAATTTTCAAAATCTCAAAACATTTTCAAATTTCAAAAATTTTCGAACTTTTGAAAAATTTACAAAATTTCAAAAAAATTTTAGAAATTTTGAAAAATTTACAAAATTTCAAAAAAATTTTAGAAATTTTGAAAAATTTACAAAATTTCAAAAAAAATTTCGAAATTTTGAAAAATTTACAGAATTTCATAACATTTTCGAAATTTTGAAACATTTTCAAAATGTCTTCAAAGTTTCAATTTTTAAAAAATCTGGTTTTGGCGATGGATTTGGAGATGGACTTTTTCATCAGCAAGGTCGAAGTCAACAAACGGAGAGGACGATCATCCCCCACTGGAAACTCATTGCGCTGATGGTCACGCTCTCGTCACAAACATCGTCATAACTTGACGAAAAGTGAATTTTACACGGAAATTCTTTCAGGTCACGATAGAAGTCATGTATTATGCACGTTTTGGTATAGGTGTCGACCCTTAAGTCGTTGGACACCATTGGAAGGGTCCCTTGGTAGTTAATTTTATGTCAAATTTATTTCCATTATAGATTTCTAAAGTTTAGCACGTATGTATAATAAAATTCGTAAATATGTTTATGTATATATATAGTCATTTAGGATTTTTCTTGAAACAATGATGTAAAATAGAGCATTCTCTGCGAACAAAATCTACACTACATTGAATACAACTTTGGTTTGTCGTTAAGTCCAGCGTACTCAGCTTTTTTAATTGTGAATTGTACTGTACAGTTTGTACTGTACACTTTGTACATTACTGAAACTCTTTTAATAGGAACCATGAAGCTTAACCTTCCGACCATACCTCTGCATATGAGTAGGGCTGCACTCTTTTCACCCCAAGGTTAAACCATGCTTCACTCTCCTTACTTCAATGAAGAGAAGGTTCATGAAGCTTCACGCATTTACAAATTGAACGAAAAATCCTTCACTCGTTTCCCTTCCTCACTCTCATTCTTATCCCTCACTTTAGCTACAGTAATGCATTACAATATATTATAAGCTGATAGGAATCCTTGAATCCAAACAACGTAAAATTGTGGTACCGACTTGACACTTAAAGTTTAAGGCTTTAATGACCTTAAAAATTTATTTTTACAAAATTTTAAACGCAATGACCCTTTTTCGACCCAACATGACATAATTGAATAAAATTGGGCGATAAAAGATCATGGCGATTAAAATTTTGTAGAGTTCCCTTTCTAAGGTCAGCAAGCCCTTAAGCTTTGAATGTCGAGGCGATAGCAATTTTTTAAGTTGTTTACATACATTTGAGATTAAAGAGGTAGTAAAACGTGACTATGTATTTGTAAGATCATGTAAGACACGACACGACCGATTTTTCGACACGATACGACATGATTGAACCGATTGATTTGAAATTCAAATCGTATCGTGTCGAAAAAAAGGTCATGGCGATTAAAATATAGCATGAATAATTTTTTTAGTCACTACACCCTTAAGTTTTGAATTTCAAGTCAATCGGTTATTTTTAGGTTTTTTACCTTGACGAACATCTCCACCGTACTCCCTGTAGCTAAAAATGGATTGAGGGAGGTGGCTATCTACCCATAGATTGTGCGGTCTGCACTCGATCAAAGTTTTGAAATCCTTCACTCTCCTTCACTCCACCATTGTGATGGAAGCTTCAATTTACCGTAAATGAGTGAAGCTACACAGGTATGCTTCCGACACGTTTTCTACACTCATATTTAGAGATGTGTGACGCGTCCAAAGGGCATTGAGATATGGCTTTGCAAAGGTCGTTAGTTTTGTAGTAATCAATTACTTGTTACAAAAAAAAACACAAATTACAACATCATAAAGACAATCGAATAAGTTATCCTCCTAAGTTAGGAATTGTAAGGATTCCATTTGTTAAACATATTTTATTCTGTTGAGCTAAACATCTACATCCATAACACTTTGGGATAAATATATAATAATTAGAATTAAGTACAAAATGTTCCACTACAAGCTATCGCCTGGTTTTACTCTTCGAATATACAGAAATTTTAATTTTGTTTTTCAAAAATATTAGTAATGTTTTTAAAATGTTAATAAATACATACTATTTAAATAATAAACAATACCCTAACCTTACAAATTTTCTATTTCTCACATTACCTGTAGGTTTTCCCTTTTCTAAAATTATCTTTTCTAAATTCCCTTATCTAAAATTGATGTGCAACCTTGTTTCCAAAGTTGTTTAACTATAATTTTTGACCTGAAAAAATTTGTCGATTGTGCAGCTTTCGACTTGAAAGAAGGGCATAAAATAATTAACCCTGCAACAAATCCGATGTCATTGAATGTGCCCCATCTCCCTTCAACTTTTCTGCCAAGCATCGCTCGACCTCTCTCATGGATTTGAGCACTTCCGGTTCAGACGTCCAATTGCTGTACAAGTACCACAACTCAAAGAATATCTTTGCAAAGGATAGTAGCCCAAGAAAAGTTGGATGGGATGTCCAAATCTTTTTAAGTGTGTCACACCAGCCAAGATTTAGGCACTTTGCCTTTAAGAAACCACCACGACAATTATAATCTATCGCTTTTCGGAAAAGTGTATAAAAACTGAAGAAAGTTTTTCATTGCACCCCAGCATTTACAAATTGTTTTCCCACGTTACCCCAAGTAAAGCCGTGTTCAACGGGGGGAACATAATTCTCTCGGCCAGCCTTTGCAAATTCATCGTTTCTTTGCTTGTCTGATTCGTCGAATTGTACCTTCATTCTGTGCCCCACAATATGGGCGCGGACGTCCGTTATCATGGTGATCAGTGATCCCACGATACCAATGCCTATAGACGCAGGTATAAGCAATGACAAGCAAGGCGTTGCAAGGATGATGCCAACTATGGCTGGTATACTTCCAATAACCTCAAGTATGACGCCAACAGTTCTCCACTTGTTGGACTTGCAATGGTCATCCTTCATAAGGCGGATTAATTCACGTACTTTGTTGAGTTGGTCTTTTATTAAGGCTGAGTGTACATGATCTTGAAGGCGATCGAGATCCGAGATACAGAGATCCAGTACAGTGACGTAGTCTCCTTGGGATTTAGTCATGATGGCTGGCTGCACTGTTATTTAGAACAGATGTATTATGACACAATAAGATCGTGTTTTTTTAGATCTGGATAACCTAAAACGTGCTTAATTTTATATACATTAGTCACAATATTGGGTGGCTTCGCTTCGCTAGTAATTTTCGCGGTACAAGGAAAATAATAGATTTTTTTGTGATTTTAGGGAAACATTTGACATGTTTCAAATTTTTATACAAGTACAGTTGACGGTATTAATGTTATGAGCACTCTAAATAAAAGTTGTGTAAAATTTACCCCAGGTTGAGTAGAATATAGGGTGATAATGGGGTAAAATTTAACCAATACCGTTTAGTAAAATTGTAAATAGTAAATTACACAAATTTATTTAGAGCGAGAGGGTGCCGCTTCAAATGAAAAAAGTATCAGGTTTTATAACGTTCAAAAGATGTCTTTTACCTTAAATTTTAGCGGCTAAGTTATTTGCCGAATAACTAAATAAGTTTTAAATAAGTCTTGTGATCAGAACCAGCGTATGTAATTATTTTTAACGGTTGCTTTGACCAAAATCTGGACAGAAACGTATGTATTCAATTCTCAGCACAGAGCTGACTTGTTTCCATTGTATTCAGTGAAGCCCATTTTACCGATAAACCAATAAACCCGTCGCGCTATCACATCCCCGTCATGAGAGATATGTCCATAAGTAGGTCAACCGTAGCAAATTGAAAAGCTAATATGTAAGGTGAATAAATACATACTTATTTTAATATATTGATTTGAGTTGGGCTGTTTGCTGGAACAGAGGCGCCAGCCTAATCGGGTTTCCGGTTGCCCAACATATACATCACTTATCGCAGCGTATTGTGTAAATACGTGTTGTTCAATTAATCAAACACCTGCATGTAAATATTGTTTAACTTTATTTTAACGGAAAAATACCCCAACTCGCACAATGGTCCAGATTGCTTAATTTGCTTGCCAAAACCTATAACTCTCGACCACAGAGCTGTAGGGAATAGAGTGAATTACACCGTGTCCCAAATGTATCTGCTCTCGACAGGATATCCTTCTTGTGATGATGCATCCTTACTCGTGTGTTCACGAGACTGCCTGACATTTGAGGTCATTGGGTCAAGAAATGTTTAAGAATAAATGTAAACACGAAAGATGTAAGGGAAAAAGTGGATGAAAACCGCGCGCGCGAGTGATGCGCAGATACTTTTGGGACACAGTGTACTATTACAAAGAAGGTTAGACCAAACTTGGACATGGTATGAGGCACAGTGAGACGGAATTTAATGGTGCCAGCTCAACTTAAAAACTTCCGAGAAGAAATATTTCCAAATTTAGTCGGGCTTCTAATTATGACTTAGCATGTTTGTCATCCGAAAATTTTTCACGTTAAGGTTCTGTACCTTCTCCGTGTACTTCATCTGGGTGAATAGATTGCATCTCTCCTTCACTCATTGAAACTTCTATGTCCACGAGCGTCTTGATATCATTGCCTGGCACCTTCTCATTTATGCTTGGGTAGCATGGGATTACCATTGTCCCCTCTACCTCATCCGCTGTGATCATGAGCAATTTGATACGTGAAAAAACGGGCCTGTTTGATCTTTATTCATGGCACATCAAAGCCAACTGAGCCATTGTAGCCACGGCAAAGCATACGGCAAAGTACGACAAAAAAACAACTCAAAACAACTCCATATACCAAGGTGGCTCTGACCCACGATTATTTTAGTCAAAAAGCCCACTCACTACGGCTTGGAGTAGCCAACGTCAAGACCATGTTGGGGACATTGTTGAGACCGCTCCAGCGTCTCTACCCTTTGGAAGTACCTAATCCTAAAACAATTGAAGTAACTCAAGGGATCAAGGATACCGCCAAATAAAATACTACCTTAGAAGAAATCAGTGAAGGAGATCATATCTACAAAACCAGAAGCGGACGTGAATTCACCATACCTAGCCGTTATGAAAGTTGGAACAAATAATAGGATATTTAATAAGTTCATGAATATAGTTGCAATTGTTCTTTTACTCATGTTAATTGTAAAACAGGTAGGAGAATGAAGGAATCTCATGTTTCCCTATAATTTTGTATGTCGCGGTGTCGAATATATCCTCATTTTGTTTGTCAGTTTTTGAATTTAGGAAAGAGAAGCATGTATGTATGTATTGGTGGGGTGACGATCCTGCCATTGTTAGACAGGACCGTCAGCTGCGCAAGCACCAAAGGCTTATTGCAGTCTCCCCGTATACACCGCTTTATTGTGCTAAATCATGACTCTCACGATTTACAGATCTAACTTGACCTACAAACCGCCCTGATCTGATTATGAATTGAATTAGATCGGGCAGAGACATAGTCACTATTTGCTCTGGTGGCAACTCATGCCTCCCAAAGAGTTCTGACCTTAGGGCACAGTACTTGTCGCAGGACCCAAGAAAATGAAATACAGTCTCAGAAGAGAAGCAGTAAGTCGTAAAAAAGAAAATGCTTCTTCTATAATTGTTGTAAATTAATTCGTCTCGTGCAATAAATAAGTAAAACCCAGTATTCGAGTTTATAGTGGGGATAATTAATCAGTCTAACTGATTAATTATCCCCACTATATGCATAGTAAGGCATGAGTAATAGTTAGTCCACCATTTCCACGGTCATCTCTAGCTCTTACGCGAGAAACGCTTGCGACGGGAAGTTGCTTGGACCGCTCTCAACAACATGTATATTGCGACCCAGTTCCAAAGGTGACTTTTCCCTAATCTAATCAAAATTTATGATTTCAACACCTACACAACTCCATCCCAACAATCTGACTCTTAACATACAAGCTTGTTTTAAACACTTCTCCAATTTCGCATTTATCTCCCTCGACCTATTTCATTATTCCACTGTATTCCAGTCACTCAACAAAAACTTATATTCTAACCAACTTTTTCTTAAAACCAAGTATGGGTTATCCGTCACCATCTGTGTTTGTGAATAGGTAGGAAAGCGAGGTTGAAAATTACACGCAGGTGAGAAAATTAAAAAAGGACATGGGCCACCTATTACTGGGAAATGGCTTTCCGTGAAATTTCCTAAATTTTTTATATGTTGTAGCCCACAATGCTATGATCAAAAAACGTCATGGGCCCGAACCCGTGGGTGACCTAGTTTGACCTTAAATCGAGGTCAAAGTTGATCAATACTTTCCAAAGCTAATAACATGCAAATTTTGAAAATTAAGTGCGGCGTCAGTTCTTGATGGAATTTCAAAATTCCGAATGTTTTGAAAAATATGTACCCCGGGGCGAAATATATATTCCCAGATTTTGTATATTCGGCCCCACCCCCTGGGTATTAAGGTCATAAGGTAAAAAAATGAGATAAATTTGTCCAACAAATAATTTCATTTTAAAATAAATCTAGAATGGCGTGGTTACCAATTCTTGGCGAACTTACTCAGAATTTCCTGGTCGCCAAGGGAGAGGTCAGAGGGTCACACCCCACTCATTTGGGGTCATTGTGGGTGTGGTCGAAAGTGGAAACAAATGCGTAAAATCGGTTTCCATCATGCTTTCACAAATTAACCATCCCTATTTAACATAATTTTGACCCTGTTATCCACCTCAACACAGTGACCGTATGTTGTATGACCATGGAGGCAGGGGGTGTGGCTATCAGCGCTTTTGTATTAACTTGATCAATACCTGACATGCGACATATCATTTTTCTCAGTGTACCGAGGAGATTACGATGCAATACTTCAAATTTAGAAACCACACCCCTTGTGGGTGTGGTTCATGGCGACTTTTCCAATCCTTTGCAGATACATAGGTCATGTAGCATATCATTTTTCTCAGCGGACCGAGGAGATTACGATGCAGTACTTCAAATTTGGAAGCCACACCTCTTACGGGTGTGGTTCTTCGAGATTTTCAGATCTTTTGCAGATATGGCATGAAGCATATCATTTTATTCAACGCAATAACGGGATTCTGATGAGATACAAAAAATCTCAAAGCCACACCCCCTGTGTGGGTGTGGTCGTGGGCGGCTTTTCACATCCCGTAAATTCGGGTTGTCAATATGTCAATTGACTCGTCGACATATCATAAATGTCATAAACGTCAAATATGACGAAACTTTGACATAATGCACATTTTTGACATTTTCTCATTGACATTGATATTTATGACAGTGACATTGTAAGTCATTAATTTAGTTTATGGCATTTATGAAATTGATGGTATTGATGATATGTATGACATGTATGACATTCATGAGCGGTTGTCAAACCTCCAGAAGCTACTTTTATGCTTAACGCGTATAGGTACCATCGTACCGCCCAACGATACAAGGAGCCCCAGTAGCAATGACTACCGCGTAAGGAACAGATGGATGTGGTCAAAGTGATCTCCAGAAACACTTTTGGGCCACCTAGATTTCAACGAATTCAAGACCAATCTAAAATAAACTGGCACCATAAATCCAGCCATTTATGTCATAGATGTCATACATGTCATAAATGCCGGAAATGTAATGAATGACATAAATGTTATAAACGTCACTGTCATAAATATCACTGTCATAAACGTCACTGTCATAAACGTCAATGTCATAAATGTCACTGTCATAAACGTCAACGTCATAAATGTCAACGTCAAAATGTCAATGTCAAAATTTGGAATTATTCGGTTGAAAACCCGAATTCTTAATTTTTATTGCACAATGTGTCAATATTGGGAATTCGCGGTATCCAAAATACCCTAAAGCTGGTGGTTAATTCACTGGTGTCTCCTCTATTGGAAAACTACTTTTAGGCCTATCAAATGGACTCAAGTCATGTGCTTTTGATCATAGTTCGGAAACCAAGTCAAAATGACCCGTTTTAGCAATTTTTCCTCTCAACTTCGGCGTTCCGCACCAGTCGAACAAAATTTTTTGGTCTTTAGCCTTTTTTTACAGTTGGAACCCATGGTCTTCCCTACAACCATGCGAAGTTTAGAGCTTAACAAACCCTCAACGCCAAAGATATGATCAAATGATCCAAAAAAGTCGTGCGTGCCACGGTACATAGATGTACATCTACACTTCAGGCTCGTATTCAGCCCACAGATGGAATTTTTCCAATCCGTTTTCTGTTTTATATTACTATATAATTTGTGCATCCCACATACAAGGAAATTTATAAATTAATCAGTTGGCCCGATAAATATTTACATAAACATATGTCCAAAAATACCTGACTAGACTATGTATATGCGTATCAGCAAGTTAATTACCGAAGTGTATTTCTGCCCTTATAGAAGTGTTTTCAATTCAGCCACGAATTTTTTCTCCTCGACTTTCTGTTCTCATTAACGCCAAATTTCGACCAATGCCTGACTACTCTTTTTACAACATCTCCAACCTTGTTGCAAAACAGCTCCCGAAATTCTACATCGGATACGATCTCTAACAGTCACCACAAGCACCACCACACAAATACCCACAAACTTGAAGAAGGATGTCAGGGTGTTGATTGAAATGTAGGGTAACGCCACCCTCCTAGAAGGCCAATCCATTGCTGTCAATATACGCAAATGTTTTAGTTGACTATCCCACATGTGTGGGAAGCCAGACATGTCAAGTAAGCTTATAGTTCGCCGAATCTCAATGCGTAGCACGTTCCGTAAAACAGTAAATCTTGCCCTATTCAGGGCAACATTATACACAATAAAACACTCATACTCGCCCATCAACAACTTATTTTGTAAGCGAAGATGGCAATAAAATGCAGGAAGTTGTCTATTAACTAGAATCACGTTTTTTGGACGATGCTCTGAAAAATTTCGCCAGTCGTACCTTGAAATAAAAAAAAATTAGTTAAGTTAGAAAGATAGTCTGATTGCTCTCAGGAGGATTGCTTCCCATTGAGGGGTAAGCCGATTTCGATGCCCTTTGGATATGTTTTAGTACCCGGTGAATGTAGGAAAAAAGAAGCAGGATTTGATTCCATGTCCCCATTTGAGCCCGCTACTCCCCCTCAAAGTGGCCCAAAACGCCTGTTTTTGTTGTTTCAAACCTTCATCAAAAATCCAATTTTGATCGAATTTGGATAATTTTTGAACACAAAAGGGGAACAAATAGTGGTTGGTAATTACATATTATTTATATTTCCAAAGGAGCAAATCAATTATTTTTCCACAAAAAATTCAAATTTAGCTAGAATGCAACAAAATAACTGATTTGAAGATTTTCTAAAAAATTTAATCTGCACATGATAATTTCCGTCAAGCTGGCCTTTTAGGGCTGTTATAATGTCATGGCATGCCGTTATTATGTCATGCTATAAATCCTAAACGTAAGTAGGTCATAAATGTCATGATCTGAAAATATGTACATGATTTGACATGACATCATGGACATATTGACAAATAATTTCTCAACTCCCAAGTTTGACGCGCTCATAATTTTATTTCCGTTGTAAAATTGGAGAAGTATGAGGTGAAATTTGCCAAATGTTATCATACCGTGTGGCGTCGATGTCACCGAATTTAATTTAAAAAATTGTGAATGAAACTGGGTGTGCGTGGAGCAATGTAACATAACATTTTTTGAATTATGCCTAACCACACCCCTTTGAAAAATATAATGAGGAAATTGGGGAAATGATAAAACCAATCCATACTTTGCAGAAAGGAGTTAGTCCTGGACTTACATATCGTCGTACTAATTCTGAAAGGGAATAAGTGCAGTCGATACTTAATTCCGAAATCAGATAAATGCAGTCGATACTTAATTCCGAAAGGAGATAAGTGCAGTCGATGCTTAATTCCGAAAGGGGATAAGTGCGCAAGAAATGCATGTTAGAATGCTTAACTTATCCCCTTTCGGAATTAAGCATCGACTGCACTTATCCCCTTTCAGAATTAACTATCGACTGCATTTATCCCCTTTCAGAATTAACTATCGACTGCACTTATTCCCTTTCGGAATTAGTACGACGATATGACATTCAAATTCTCCCCGAACATTTTGATGCATCAAAAGTTTCAAAAATTTAAAATTTTGACCCGGGTTAATAGCGTATTACAAATCATTAAAAAACTCATGCTTCCTCTCATTTCAAGCCTGACAACCTGATGCCAGATTTTTCTACTTGAAAAAATCCGTATTTCAGCTTTTGTTGCCCGGGTAGAAATGTACAGAACCATGAGTATTTTGGGGTCAAAGTTTCTCAGGGGGTGGCTTATGTGGTAAGTGCCGTAGCAAACACAATTGTTTTGAACCTTAGCTTATTTTAATTAAACATGACGATTTCCGCTGAAAAATTAGGGCTGCGGGGCTTATCAAGGTGCTTATTAATTTTTCAGATAAGCTAATTTGACTTATCTAAATCCGTCAAAATTAAAAAAGTACCGTTATTTTAATTTATAATGATGCTCCTTTCTCGAAATTTAGCCCTATGAGGCTTAACAACGTGCTAATTCGGCTTATCGAACACCTTCAAACTTAATAATCGTAAATTCAGAGAATTTGGAGAGACGAACCAACTCGTGTGAAAGATAACAAGCATCTGAACACGAGTTGGTTCAAAATCCCCGTCAACAAATTAAAAAACGAAATGTTGGTTGGTGAGATGCGAGTTAGAGAGGCAAAGTGAGGCGACCACACTACAAGACTGTCTCGAGATAGTGGTGGTGGTGGTAAGGAGCCAGAGTTTGTCTCTCTAGCGAAATATGGAAACGGATTTTATGGTTTAATTCCCTTGGTATGTCTTGTATGAGTTATTTGTTTTGTTTGAAGACAATTACCTTCGAAACATGCACATGCCAAAATAGAAATTAAGCAGAGGGAAATATATATCACGTTCGACGACCATAATCGAAATTGGTTACGCGCTTAAGATGAAGTTATGAAATAAACTGCTACAGACAGATACAAATAACTGACAACTTGAACAAGAAGCAGCGGACTACAATTGTCGGCGAACCTACTTGAACACCAACCCCAAAATTTATCAGACTGTTGAAAGTGTACGGTCGGTTCATCAGTAGGTTTTTGTAATTAACTAGATGGTAAATAACAACATGTTGGGTTCATTTTCACCAAATTGGTAGGTGGAGTTCAGTAGAATGGAGGCGATTAAAACTAGGAGAAGTTAAGGTTATCGTGGTTCATATATGCTTCCCAGAGGGCAAATTTGAGAAAATATCATAAACGTCTAAAATGTCAATGCCAATATGTCATGAAATTTGCAAATTTGACACAATGACAAATATTGATATTGATCCGACATTTTAAATGTCTGACATCTTGGACAATTATGACATTTATGATATGTCGACATATCGTAACAAACGATAGGTCTTTATCATACTATGAAGAGAGAACACCTTTATTTGATTGGTTATTTTGTTCACTCCGACCCTGTTGCCGGATTGCACTGCAGAGCACTAAGAGCAGTTTCGCCTTTCTCTTTTTGAGCTAGTAGCTGGGAATACCGCAGTGTATAAAACGGAGTAATACGACACAGTTCACTTCATACCACCTTTTTCGTTTTCTTTACACTCATGTACTTGACTGATTTCAACACCTTAACGCTTAGAGGAAGTACTCTGACCCCACGTGGGGAGTAAAATTGTTAGGAGTTTCGAAATTGCATCGTATGGAATAGGTCATTTCGAAAATCGAACGACAAAGTGACAGCTCTCCACGAGGTCACAGGCAAAAAAATATCGAAATTTAAAGTTCACGGGTATATATGTAGATTGTAATGAGGTAGGGATTCCTGAAATCGCTATTATTTCTACGTACGATTACTCCATGACAGTTTGGACGAGGTCAAATGTAAAGAATGTCGAAACTTTTGTTAGACAAGTAACTGTTATTACTCAGCCCCGAATAAAAATCATATTCAAAGTTTTGATTATAATACACCTTATTGGAGTTTCTAAGGCGCGAAACTCCGGGGGAAGGCTGGTATAACAAAACAATTAGGATTCAATTGCCCCCTGGCCAATGAAAATAGATTTTCCTGAACTTCAATTTTCATACCACTCCTCAAGCATTGACCGTTGAAAATTTTTATTGCGTTTTTGCAGCCTACGTTCAGTCGGAGCGCGAATTACGAACTTGACCTGACCCAGGCTAGAAGAGTCAAGACATGCTAACTTTGTTTCGAAATTTTGAAATTTAGAAAAGTTATCGCGCACACAGATAGACGGATAGACAGACAGGCGGTGTAACCCATCTCACTTGTGCATGATTCCCTCAAGTGAGAAGGGTTCTCAGTAACCCCATTCTGGGATTTCTCCCCTTTCCTGCCATCTCAGCATAATAAATTTAAGTTTTTCTTTTCTTGTTGGTGAACGTGCCCATACCTCGCTCTCCACACAATAACTCAGTCGAATATCTTTCTGGAGCAACATCTCTACTTTTCTACCTCTATAGAAATATATTATTTTAGAGCGTACTTTTGTTTAAATGGTTAAATAAATATTAATAAACATAATCACCACTCCCCGTGTTGCTCCACTTAATTAGCACCGGCCGTTATCAACCGAATAGAAAGGAAATCATCCGAAATCCAGGGATAGTGAGATAATGCAGACTGCATAAACTACAGGTGTACATCTGTAAATATTTAGAAATTTGTGGTCCTCAATTATGTTCTTTTGTAATCTACATAGAAAGCGCTTAAGTGTATATGTACATATGTACATAATGGTAACCCAATATACATAGATGCATACATATATCGATGTACTAATTCAGAAAGGGGATAAGTGCAGTCGATGCTTAATTCCGAAAGTTGATAAGTGCAGTCGATGCTTAATTCCGAAAGTGGATAAGTTCAGCCTTTTAACGTGTATTTCTTGTGTACTTACCCTATTTCGGAATTAAGCATCGACTGCACTTATCTCCTTTCGGAATTAGTACGACGATATCTAAAGAAAGGTTTATTACTAAAATTCACAATCATATCGTACATATACTTTGAGTCTAACTGAAACTTATGTTAACAAAACTCAGTATGTATGTACGCGAGGTACGATGAATATGCATGTGCAACAGTTACACTGCAAACAATTGGCAAGTTTAATTGCGAATAATTTATAATGTTTATATTCCCATCATGTGAATCAAACGTTGCATGCGTGAGTTGGACGACATAACTAATAAGATACAAATTATGCCTTTCAGTAATTCACTGACTGTGCAAATCTTTACCTTTAGCCTGTTGCTAGACCGAAAATAAAAACATGGATTTAAAATGAAGCGTTCTATTTCAATTACCTCTTTGCTACTCGTCTTTTACATACAACAATTGTCATTAGGTAATTATATGTATAATATACATATAAAGTACATATTATGTACTTTACGTATCTCAATAATGTGGCAATTATTTCCAATTTAGAAACGCATTACACATCTTGTAGTAAGCAATATTTTCGCTGAAAATTATGCAAATATCTTCGATTATAATTAGAAAAGTGATTTAATTTCTTGAGAGGAAAAAGTTGGTTAGTTATCATCCAGTTTTTATACATATCTGTAACAGAGCGAAATAGTTAAGCAGAAAACTAACTGAAAACATTTCTTACACGAAATATATTTAAAATCTTGATAATAATCACTGTATAGTCGATACGATTTAGGGAATATCTAAATTGTGCGGACACATGTATCTTTGTACTTATTAATAATATTCGTCAACAGAAAAATCGAGAACATGGCATTTAAGATCATATTTTTAATGATGTGCGTATCTTGTGCAAGCTATGTTTTTGGTCTAAAACCAAAATTCATACGTCGTCAGTCTGGAAAACTTCAGCGAACATATAATAATCAAGCAAATCCAGAGGTTGTCGTTCACGCCTAATTTATAGTCCGATATTAATTTTTATTTTCCCTATCCTCCAACGTTATAAAAACACATTAGAGGATAAGGACAATGAAAATTAATTTCGGACTGTAAATTAAGCGTTACCCTCAGCAAACTATATTTTCCTTCATAAATGAACCTCAGTTACTGAATCGGAACAGAAGATCACCGTACTTTACAAATTGGGTTTACACTAATAACAGAAACTATCTCTCATGGATTGACATTATTTACGGGAATGAGAGCAGTCAGATACCGCCAAACAATATTGCCGAAGTGACTGGAAAGACGGCCGACATTAATGCAGGTTTTGGTGGCGACTATGTCTGGCTTGTCCCCGAGTGGAGTAGTCGGTTAGATGAGGGGGTAACCTCACTCCGGATAGATGTACAAGAAAAGGAGGATAAGGTCTCGAAAAACCTGGCAAAGGGGGCAGGCGGACTTTTTCGCTATCTACGAGTTATCAGGGACATTTCGCACAAGGAAAAAATAATTGAAGTGGCCCTGTTGAGAACAGCTAATGAGATTGTGGGGGACTCATACTGGGAGGAATGTACCCAAGATATTAATAAATATAGGATGAAGGACTATTTGTACCTTTGCTGGAGGAGTACGACACCCTGAATATGAAATTTTTTAATTGTGTATGCATTAAGATTTTCATTATTCAGCAAAATATTTAAAATAAATAATAATTATTTCGTGTTAAATTTCCCTTTGTTGATTTTCAAGGCGGATTCCTGAACAAATAGCGCCTCACGGCTAGAATAAATATATGTGTTATTTATCCTACATGAAATTCATGACAAGTTTTTCTTTTCTGTGGTAACGTATCCACAAATTTTTAAGCAGTTTGGCCTCACGGTGTGTGGATGGAATTTGTGAGAGGAATACATAAGCAGTGGTCAACATGGGGAAAGTATTGCTTTTGAACAATCTGCCATGTTAACCTGCATATTTGTTATCGAGTTGTTGGCAAATTACTGAAATTATCAGGAAGCAGCGAAGTGAAATTAGTCGTGTAACAGAAACAAAATTGTCACCGGCAGGTAATCCAGTTGCTATCGGATTATGTAGATGTATGCATATGTACAAAATTTTGATTTATTTATTAGCTATTCATTTAAAGCATTCACAATTGTGCACAATTGACTTGACACATTTGTACATACCAATATATTTTTGTATTTATATGCACATCAACAGGATAATTACACAAGTGTATTTCTATCCTAAAAGAATTGTTTTCTATTCAGCCACGAATTCTTTCTCCTCGACTTTCTGTTCTCATTAACACCCACAAATTTCGACCAATGCCTGACTACTGTTTTCACAACATCTCTAACCTTGTTGCAAAACCGCGACCGAAATTCTACCTCGGATACGATCTCCAACATAACAGTAATTACAAACAAAACCACACAAATGCCCACAAACTTGAAGAAGGATGTCAGGGTGTTGATTGAAATGTAGGGTAATGCCACCCTCCTAGAAGGCCAATGCATTGCTGTCAATTTACGCAAATGTTTTAGTTGACTATCCCACATGTCAGGGAAGCCAGACATGTCAAGTAAACTTATAGTTCGCCCAATCTCAACGCGTAGCATGTTCCGTAAAACAGTAAATCTTGCCCTATTCAAGGCAACATTATACACAATAAAACACTCATACTCGCCCTGCAGCAACTTATTTTGTAAGCGAAGATGGCAATAAAATACAGAGAGTTTTCTATTAACTAGAATCACGTTTTTTGGACGATGCTTGGTGACATGTTCTGAAAAATTATGCCAGTCGTGCCTTGAAATAAAAAAAATGAAATTAGTTAAGTCGGAAAGATAGTGTAATTGCTCTCAGTTTAGTGTAACAGTGTAACGAGCTAACGCTACATATTAAATTATTTACCTAGCAACGATTGTTTTCTCGTGGGGAAAACCACCCAAGGAAATTCTCGCATATTCCTTTACTAGCTGGTTCTTGGTTGACGAGAAGCCTTGAACGTCCTCTGACAGGTACACGATGGTGTGATCGTTGGCAAAAAATTCGCTAAGGTTGTGAAGTAATTTATACCCCGGTGGCGCTACGAGATTAACCGTCAAGTATAATTCGTATTGAGCTAACAGCATAAAAGTTGTAAAAAATAGAGGCACAACAATCCAAATGGAGAAACGCTTACTTGGCATCTCTTGTTTTAGAAATTTTACACATATTATGAAAACCAAATCTCCCAAAAGCCGAACTAACTTGTAGGTAATACTAATTTTTCGATGTAGAAGCAAATTCTTGAAAGTTGGTGATAGAAGTGTGGCCACGATAATGGCTAAGCAAGTGAGCCACACCCCTGTAGAAAATCACCCACACGGCAGAATCTGAGTTTTCCGACCAAACATTGAAATTGCAATAAATCGCGTGTGTTCCTTCATATTTAAATGAAGAATATAATTTGAGACGTCGATAAATGTCCCGTAATGCAAAATGTTTCAGAAATCCACCCCACTTATGATGAGGATATTTGTGGAGAGGAACTTGTACAAACGAAATGTTCAGAATTAAAGCTATCGTTAAATGTTGTATATCACATTGAGGACATTCTTTCGAAGGTGGTGCTAAATGAGGTAGATTAAATTGTCCTTGTTCACAAATTGAGGCATGAATAAATCCGCCTTCCGCAACAACCGCGAAATTCACATCGGTTCGCCATTCCTTACGAAGCGAAATCAGGGTCAATTTCTTGACATTGCGGTTGTAGATTACGGACTGAACAACCTTATTGCAGTAAGGACATATAAAATACCATTCTATTTGAACTAAGTCGGAATTCTGATGACTCCTTGTTAAATGAAGGGCAAAGATTTTCCGCTGCTCGATACAATCCCTTGGGCACCTAACCTGTATTATGTCTTCTGGTGGTTGTTTTGAAATTATGATAAGTGTTGAATGTTCCAATCCCCTGTGAACATCTCGAGTGTAATTTAAATAATTCCAATAAAATTTGTTATCCTCAACGCCAAACGTTATGAAAATTGTGATCGTGCAAATTTCGTAGAATTTGAAATCTAGTACATTCAGCTGGTCGTGAATAGCTGGATGGTAAAATTTTGGTCGCCCACCAACCGTGTATATCAGGTTGGATTGTTTGCGTGGATGAGTTGTTCCGCCAGGTCGATGTATTCAAGGGTGTCGGTCAATCTTATGAATTTCATAACGCAGGGACCAAAGTGCCCAAAATCACTGTTAAGAAGCGTATCAATACCCAACGTTCGAGGCAGAACGGATATAATGAGGAGTGTGAGAAAAGTTTTGTGGATCATTTTAGGTCAGAAATGAAATAGTTTACGACAGGTATACAAGTTACTTGAATACGTACCTGTCATCAGGGCATGAATACAAATTCGGAACCAGAATGATTAACCAGCCTTTTCAGATGACACGAGAAGAAGCATTTATGGATTATCTGCTAACTATGACTTTTGGAAAGGAGTTATCGTGCAAAACTATTTAAAGAATTTATATATTCATATAGCTGTTGTTTGACAAACTGTGTTGAATTATTTAGTTAAATTGTCCAAATCGATAATGTCGGTGTGGATTGTAATCATGTATGTAATATTTTTTGCCGTCCTCAAAAACACGTTTAGCTCTTTAGGTTTGGTTTACAAATCATGAAGCAAGAATAATAACCAATAATGGTTTAAAATATAATCAGAAATCGTTTGATAGTATTAAGACTATCAAACTGTTTCCCTGTAATTGGTTAAATGAACGAGCGTATAGAAGACGATTATAATTGATTGGATTTATAATCGTCCTGATGATCATATGCATTTAAAAAACTTTTTGTTCAGCATCTCATTACCCCAAAAAATTACGGAAAATTAAGGTTTGAAATTTAGTACCAGAAATTTGAAAGTTTAATTGAAATTGAAATACCATGAAATTTTGTACCTGGGCCCGATACCGAAACCCGAGAAAAATCCCGATTCTGTGAGCAACACTATTACAGATTAAAGTTTACATTTAATTGAAAAAATTGCATTTGTAGGGATAATTTTCATGCAGAAAAGATGTTTGAAAAGATTACGTTTCGTTGTTAATTTGCCAAGTTTAACTGATATTTTGCAATTTACACTATTTTTAGTTTTGCAGCGATTTGATTCATATCTTGGGACGCTTTGGTTTAGCGAATCTAAATTAATATTGTAAATTAATGATTCAAAAAGATTGTTTACATAACTGAAAGAATGCTGTCTGCCTAAATACTTCCATTATTTAATGGGTTATCATTATTGGACAGAAATTCTCATCCGATTTTCGAAGTACCCTCATAAAACTTCAATAATTGAGAAAAAACGGCTGCTCCAACATCAAGCGTTTTTTGAAAATCGCCCTCGAAAATCCAGAAATGGGCGAAGGTCAAGTCTCACGTAGCCCCATGTATAGGGTACCATTGGAAAGGTGACCGCGAATGGAGTCCGAATATATATATGTACTTTGTGGGGTCTAGGACCACTCCCTGAGAAGTTAAAAGATAAAAGAAAATTTTGAGTTTTCACTCTTCAACTCGCTAGAATTGGTGTAGTTTGCTCATTTACCCTGCAATGCAAAGTCGTAATCCGACGCTGTGTTAAATACTGGCGAGTTGGAGAGTGAAAACTCAAAACCTTCTTTTATCTGTAACTTCTCAGGGGGTGGTCCTAGACCCCACAAAGTATATATATTCGGACTCCACTCGCGGTCGCCTTTCCAATGGTACCCTATACATGGGGCTACGTGAGACTTGACCTTCGCCCATTTCTGGATTTTCGAGGGCGATTTTTAAAAAACGCTTGATGTTGGAGCAGCCTTTTTTCTCAATTGTTGAAGTTTTATGAAGGTACTTCGAAAATCCGATGAGAATTTCTGCTCGAAATGCGAGCGTTTCTTGAAATATGGCCCTAAACATGGCAAATCAGACGATTTTTTATGACTTTTTTTGGTACTCTTTGAATATCTTTGCAACCAACAAGGTCAGAGGTCCAAAATTTTTGCCACATTACTAGAATTAACTCCCTAATAAACTCCTATCGTTGGAATTTTGAAATTCCATAATTTTTTTTTCGGCGACCACACCCCCAATGTCCCAGCAGGCACACCCCATGATTTTTTTTAAATTTTTTTTTGGCTGGACATAATTCCTGGGATAGTGTGGCACTCAAAAAAAGCCAAAACGTAATTTTGTCGCAATTTTATTTTCTGTGGAACACTGTGCTATAGTATTTTCGTAATTCCTTCTCTCTGAAATTACTGAAGCTTAGTATTTTCAAATATGAATATTCAGACACTGCATCTTCAAGAGAATTAAAAAAAAAATTGGCAGCGTTGGCTATTTATTTAATATATATGTCAAATTATTAAATTCAGGATTGATGGATGTTTAAATTGACGATGTACACAAAATAGTTTGAAGAGACGTCAATTGCACAACATGCGAATTTTGTACAATTCCCATACGTAAAACTATTTTATGTTCAGGTAATTGGGCTGCTCATAGCCTCAACTGAAATGAAATGGTTTTATAAATATTAGGGGATATGGACCAAAGTTTTTGCATACATACGTAGGTTCTTGTTCACAAAATTTATTTAGTTGTACATATTTATCAGTTGGCTATGACAGCTATAAGAAAACTCTCAATAGAAGATCCCTTAAGCTAAGTGTAAAGATTTACAAAATTATGCATCTTGTAATATTTAT